CCAGGAGTTAGGCATTCGTGCGCAAGACCTAAGGCCCTGGGTTCGAATCCTTCGAAGTGCAGGAATCTCAGATGCTCTCTACTGATGAGTCTCATACCAGGACGAAACGACATTCCAGTGCTTCCAGGTTTCTAATGGTGGTCTAACATTGATCGACTCATGATTTCACATATACTTTATTGTTTATCTACTGTCAAAAACTGGACATTTTTTAAACATCAAAAAGTGTTATAAAATAGTTTAGTTTATTATAAAAAAAACACTGGAAACTTTATAATTATAATATTAACTTTACTCGAGGTTATGCGAATCTCACGATGATACTCTCGTTATCCGATTAAAATGTAGGATTCAGTAATTTTATACGTCATGACGATTGCTTCACTATCATTGCTTATTTAGTTAGAATCAATCTATCAGTGTTAACATTTTTCAACATTGACATTCATTATTCCAGTGTAAATATCAACTGAACTAGATAGATAGATAGATAGATAGATAGATAGATAGATAGATAGATAGATAGATAGATAGATAGATAGATAGATAGATAGATAGATAGATAGATAGATAGATAGATAGATAGATAGATAGATAGATAGATAGATAGATAGATAGATAGTTAAATCTATAAATAATACTAATCTATTAATAACATCCCTCATTTACTTAATCATTAGTTGAATTCATTATTTTAAAAAAATGAAACAACATGAACTTGTCAATGATGAAAATTTTAATCAAATTAACAATAATGTACGTAATGTTTGTTTGTTTTTTTTAATTTCGAGTAATTAATTCCTCACTCCAATGAAATTCAATAAGTATCATCAAATTATTATTATTCAAAAGATGTAAATAAAGTGTAATTCAATATATTAAAACAAAAAATAATTTAAAGTGTTAAACATAGTATTTATACGTCACAGATTGATTATTTCTGTTTTGTTTACATTTGGTGAAATTATTAAATCAGTAGTAAATGTTAAATGAATAGAATATGATAATAATTTATCTGGATAGAATTAGAAATATTATTATTAGATTATGGTCAAGTAATAACTTTTATTCTATAAACATTTTTATGTACAGAAAGAGTTCATCCTTCCTAAAGCCAATGAATTTTTGTGCAATACCTAGTTTGATAAAGGTTATGAATATATATTAGGCAGTTAAATCCTCACAGTGTTATAATGTGTTGTGTAGCTATTCGAAGTCCTACCGACTGACCAAATTCAGATACTCCAGTACGACCCCAATTACTGTTCCCAAATCTCCGATATATCAGAACACAACACTGTTAGCTGAAGTTGTTCATGAGGTCGAGTACAGAAGGAATCGGAAGCTTTTCAAACAATGCATATTTATACAATTAGGTCTAATAGGAAACAACATTGAAGTATGTGACATTGACAGTTACGACAACCATAATATTGACAAGTAGGAGTTGACCAATAGAATTAGACTTACAAAATAGTTCTCTTAGAATATTTGATGAGTATTCTAACACACAGGTAGGAAATGTACAGTCTATTAAGTAAAGTACGAAAATCTTGGACAATAGAATTTAAAATCTAGCTATTGCATCCTTAGGTTAATGACACCATATTTTTTCCATTAAAAGTAAAGACGAATTTCAAAATTCTTTTTACTATTGAAGCACAAATACACAATTTTGTCAAGAAAAACTCCTAATTTTAATTATCCCACACTGTATACGTGATCTAGAATTCACTTATTTCCTTTTGAAGAATTATACATAGTATTAGTAGTTATTAGTTAAAATAGTTTTATTTTAAAGCCTTTTATATAATCGTGTTTGTTAAATTATTTAGTTATGATGAGAGAAAATTTAAACAAGACGGAGATACCGAATCGATTCTCGATTGACATGAACGACATTACATGACAGTTGTAAATTAAGGCAGTTCATTATTTAATCTGACTGCCAAGTATTGTTTCTTTATCAGTGTGACATGCTGATCACTTGCTTTGAACTTCAATCCCAAAGAAAATCCATCATATCAGAAGAATAAACCTTAAAATTTGTTAATATCACTTTTTTTCTATTATTATTGTTAAAAATCAGTTTTGTTTTGTAAACGATGGGATTTACTTTGCTGAAGAAAAATATTCAATAATCATTCAAATCATAACAGATGATTGATTGATGATTTTGCCCGTTACCCACAATGGAGCATAGGCCGCCGACCAGTTTTCTCCAACCAACTCTGTCCTGGGCTTACCTTTCCAATTCTGTCCAATTTTTGTTCATTCTTCTCATGTCTTTCTCTATTTCTGGGCGTAATGTGTTCCTTGGCCTTCCTCTTTTCATTTTGCCCTGAGGGTTCCAAAGGAGGGATTGTCTTGTGACGCAGTTGGGTGCTTTTCTTAATGTGTGTCCTATCCACTTTCACCGCTTCCTGATTTCCAACGCTATCGAATGCTTTCTCGTAGTCGATGAAGTTGATGTAGAGTGGTGAGTTCCATTCAGTTGATTAATCCACAATGATCCGTAATGTAGCAATTTGGTCAGTACAAGATCGATCCTTACGAAATCCGGCCTGTTGATCTCGTAGTTGGGCGTCTATTGAAGTCCTTCATTCTGTTTAACAATACTCTGTTGAAAACTTTGCCTGTTATTGAGAGAAGAGTGATGCCTCTGTAGTTCTCACACTTGCTGAGATCGCCTTTCTTTGGCACTTTGATCGAGTATCCTTCTTTCCAATCTGATGGTACTTGTTACTCATCCAAAATCTTCTTGAAGAGAATGTGAAATATATTTGCAGTTGCTTCCACGTCTGCTTTCATCGCCTCTGCTGGAATGTTGTCTGGTCTTGCTGCTTTGCCGCTCTTGATTTGTCTGATGACTATACTGATCTCTTCAACTGTAAGTGCCCCAACATCAATTGGGAGGTCTGTAGATGCTGCTTCGATTTTGGGTGGGTTCAGTGGAGCTGGTCGATTCAAGAGTTCCTTAAAGTGTTGCCATGGGCTTGGCACCTCCATCCCAACTAAAACTAACTTGCCAAAAAAAACGCTAACCAGGAAAATCATAACGGTTGCAATCATTAAAAACTATAAGGTTATCGCATTGATCCAGACTAAGAAAAAATATCGGTTGAATATTTTTTTTAATGACCTATTTATTTGTTTCTTAAATTGAGAGAAATATGAAATGATCATTACTAAACAATTTATTCAGTGATACCAAAAATTTTCAAATTTAGTCGTAAAAAACTCAGTTGAACATAATTTTACTGGAGAAAATTTAAATTTTCTCAATCAAATCATATTTTAAAGTGTTTTTCTTTTTCAACATTTTGATTAATCAACTTTACCTAAATAGGATATGTTTCGTTTAAGAAGATGTAATGTGTTTCCTGTTAATATTTCAAATAATAACTATGAAATTAGATTATTACTAGTGATAAATGATCAATATATTCACATTAAATGAATGAACATTTGTTTAAGTAATTCAAACAAAACATTGGCATAAATTGATCAATTAATGGTAATTAAGTTTGAGGGAAAAATTCAAATTAGATAGTGAAGAATATAAACGGAAAGAGGCAGAAAATTGCCAACAAATACAGGATGTGAAAATAATGTTACTAATAACAAAATAAAATTTAATAAAAAATTTCAGGTGTTAGTTAAGTCATATCCGTCCACGGAAGAGATGTGGGTGCCACAAAATTCCTCTGAACACATAAATTTGGGTTGAATGTACGAATGCCTAGGGTCTCTGCTATGTGTAGGAGATGGGATCGAACTCCGTCGGGAAATGGTGAAGGTATACGATAGATCATCTGGAACTTATCTGCAATATAACCACTGTCAACCAGATGTGCTGGGATAGAACTGTGTATTGTTTTTAATTGGCCCTTCACAAACCATGCTGAGAGGTGTTCACTCATTCGTTGATCAAGTTACCTGGTAGTACGTTCGATATAGCTATCTTCACAGGAACAGCTGAATTTGTAAATGCACATAGAGGAGGCCAACTCAGGTAACTTATCCTTCGTTTGGGTTGACATCGCAGGTCGACTTGAGAAGGCCAACGCAAGTTAGGTTGCGTTGAATATTCTACTAATTACTTTCGTTAATCTGTCCTTCAGAGTATCGCAGGCTACATCTCCGCTGAAGTGTAGTTGAATAAATAAAGGTTTTTTTTGAGCGATCGAAGTTTCTGACTTCTTTTATTCATAAGAATTTAGTGACATCCCTATCTCTTCCGTGGCTAGATATGACTTAACTAACGTCTTGTTATCATTAGCATTATTTTCACATCCTGTATTTGTTGGTGATTTTCTGCCTCTTTCCGTTTATATATATTCTTCAATATCTAATTATGCACACACTTCTTATTAAGTAATGGTTTTGATGTTTTGTAATGATTATTTTAAGTCTATTTATCTACGTTTCACCTACTACTGATAAGAAAAATATTCAACTTGTTTGGATATCTAGATAAGAGTAAAATTGGTCAAGAAAATAAAGCAACCCACATCATAAATTGTTGTCAGTTAGAGAACCTCTAAAATCTACAGCTAGTTATCTGATTATATTATTCACCAATCTTTAACATCACTCACTCACTCACTCACTATCTAATGATTGTTAAGATTCACAAAAAGAAATGTTGTATTTAAAAAGATGAGTTGTGTGGTAATTTGACTTAACCAGTAGATTATTATCTCACTCTCCAGGTATTTGAGTGAATTTACAATAGTTTCTCAGAAATTCTTCAAATTTCCTCATGAATTGAAACTTTTCATGATTCTATTTCAACTCAATGGCTGAATAGTAGTATCTTACCCATCATGAAAGGTCTTAAAGCTCACTAGTGTAGTAATTGGCACTCATCATAAACGGTTCTGTCTGTGATATTAGTTCATAATGCTGAGTATGTTTTTTTTTTAAAATAAATGAAATCGTAATTTTTTTTTTTAGAAAAATATCCCGAATGTCAATGATCAATAAATATTGTTTACCTGATAAAAATTATCCATACAAACATTTTCGCCTATGATAATTTGTTTTTCTGCATCCTCTTCATTAACTTCTACTGTATGACATAGTGCTAGTATTGTAAGACAAGTTAATAATTCATTAGGCATTTCTTTAGTATGCACTACTTGACTAGAATATTCATTGGATGATGATATAGTAACATTCTTTTTCGATTGAAATATATCATTAAATACAGTTTGTTGTGTCAATTCATTGTCATCTTCTTCATCGACTTCTGAATCAGAGGATGAAATAAATCCAAGATTATCTTCATAATATTCATGTTGTTGTTGTAATCCGTTTAGTTTTTCATAAATCATGCCAATATGACCAAATTTATTTGTTTTTTGTGAAATTTGTTTTAATTGAATGTGTTTGTTTGTTTGATTATAATGATCATCAATGGCATGAGTGGTATTTTGAAATTTTCTATCATTAAATACATATATTTTATTTGTATTTAAAATAGCTATTGTATGTAAACTCATTTCATTTTGTGTTAATGTTCCAGTTTTATCACTGAATAAATAATTCACTTGACCTAATTCATCAACTAATTGTGGTGTATTTGATTTAGTCGCAATATCTTGTTCTGAATCATATAAATTGATATCAGCTGATACAAAATAAGCAGCAGTAATTTGTTGAATTTCTATAGTAATAATTAATGAAATCGGTATTAAATAATTTAATATAAATAAAAATCGAAAAACACCTTTAACTTGTGTCCAATTTTTAAAATTTTGTGTTGGAATAAATGGATTTGTTAAATTCATCATTGACCATGTTCGTGTTAATATTGAAAAGATAATACAAAATCCAATCATAATAATCATAAAAATTAATAGAATTTCATTAGCTTTACTTTCACGTGAACTATATTTACGTATAACTTTTTTCGAGTTTAATATAAGTTTTGTATCTTTACCAGTATAAACAACTAAACCAATAATATATTTTGTACTTTTTAATTTAGCACCTTTATATAAAATATTTTGTAATGTTAATGGTTGTATAATTTGATCATTGATCATAGATGTTGTTGTAATACAACCTTGAAAATTAGTAAAATCTTCATTTGGTTGTTGACAATCAATTTTAATAAATAATGATTTCAATAATTGATCAGTTTGTTCATTAAATTTATAAGTTACGGAATCATTGAAATAATGTTCATAGATATTTTGTGTATTGAATATTGAATAATGTGTTTTAATGGTACTTTCACCGTCTAAATTTGCTGTAGTTATACGACATGAACAATCTTTACTACTTGTTGCTAATAAAATTAAATCACATGGAAATTCTTCATTACTTTTACATAAAATCACATCACCAACATGAATAAATTTTGATTTAGTTAATTTCCAATAAATTTCATTTGTTTCTAAATTAATTTGCATCACTGGAAATTTTCTTTCATTAATTTGTTTATCTTGATAATGTCGTAATATATCAAAAATGCCATCTTTTAATAATGTCACTAAGAAAACAAATGAAAATGGACCAATAATTGCAAATACCGATGTGGCACCATCAGCAAACATGTGTAAAATTGCAACTAGAATAAAAAATATATTCGACATATAATGTAATTGTTCATAAATAATTTTTGGTAAAAAATTCCATAAAGTATAAATTGATGTGACAACTTCATTGTTACAATATTCTTTTTTGTGTGTAAATGTTACCGGTGAATAAGTTTGCAGTCGATGAGCATAAACAGTTCTTGGCAATGAACAAGATGACGTAGGTTGAACTGTGTTGATAATGTTTGATGATGATGAATGGACCGGTTTTGAATTGTGTTGATTCATAGTTCATGAGGATAAGAAGGAAATGATATATGATGATAAAAATATATGTAAAAATATTTTATTTTATCAAAATGATCTATATTTTTGTATGAATCTATTGCAATTTATAAATAATTCTTTAAGCAAAGAAATTAACTTATTTAAGTAGATTTAACACAGTTGAATGAATTGACCAATCAAATACAAGGTCAGTGTTAACTGGTTGCACGCAACAAAAATCATACGAGAATTATAAGGGCATAACCAGTTTGAACACTAATAACCCACAGATAAGTCAACAATTGTAGAATTGTCAGTATAGCTAAACAATCATGAAAAACCTAGAAACACTGGTCGGTTTATTCGTTCTAATATGAGGCTTCTCAATAGTGTATTTGTAAAACATGCTGAGTGTGAGACAGTAAGCAATGGACGATGGTTGCATAATACATTTTTAAAGTTAGTGCTGAGATGAGGTAGATTATGTCTAAGTAAATTTAAAATTCTTCTACTTATTTTCCGTTTTGTGCCTGTTAACGCCCGTTCAGGATCGGACACCAACCCAGATCATTCAGCCAACTGTGTCTTGGTCCTTCTTTTCCAGTCGTTGTCAAGTGCTATTTTTTTGTTTTGATACCACCTCTAATCCCCGATGAAATGTGTTATTTGTTCTTCCTTGAGGGAGGGCTTGCCCTACCCTACGCCTGTTACTCCTAATAGAGAATAGGCCACCTACTAGCATTCTCCAACCAACTCTGTTCTGAGCCTTTCTTTCCAGTTCTTCACACTCATTCTTTTCATGTCTGTTTCCGATTCTCGATGCAATGTGTTCCTTGGTCTATCTCTTTACCTTTGACCTCCAGGGTTCCAATTTAGGGCTGGCTTCGTGATGCAGTTGCATGATTTTCTCAATGTGTGTCCTATCCACCTCTAGCGTTTTTGCTCATTTCTTCCTCAACTACAATCCGGTTTGTTTTCTACCACAATTGGTTGTCATTGATGATGTCTGGCCAACAGACGGGCAGTATCTTGAGTGAACAGCTGGTCTATATACCTGTATCCTGTGAATGATAGTTTTCGTAGTTTTCCAAGTTTCTGTTCCATACAGTAGAACTGTCTTGATGTTGTGACCCTGGTGTGAGTTGACAATTGTTTTGAGTGCCATATGTTATTGAATTGTAGAAATTCTCCCCTTGCTTTACTAATCCATGTCTCCATATCTAGATAAGATCCACCTTGTTTATCAATTATGCTTACTAGGTGCGTGAAAACTTTCTCATATTCCAAATCTTCTCCATCAAATGTGATTTGTTTGATGCATGTTGTGGTTTATCGGAGGATGTTGCTTTTCCCTCGTTTATTTTGAGACTTATTGCTTCAGAAGTTTTTTCTATACTGTCCACCTTCTCCTGCATTTGTTTTTGTGTGTGAGATAGAAAAGTGAGCATGTTATAACTTGCTAAACAGACTTTAATTAGGACTAAAGCGGACCAGTCACTCACTACTCAATGATCAATCAATCAGAAATGAATATTTAAATAATGTTTTGTCGCCTCTTTTTAATTCACATGATCAATTTATTTATTTAAATGTTAACATTCCATGTGATTGATAATTTTATACCGTGTAACAGATGAATAAACTTTTCTTGGCATACAAATAAGTATAAATATGACAAATGTTATCAGTATCTATCAAAATACGCTGAATTAATCGGTAGCATTTGAAGATTAATTTTAAAAAAAACTCTTTGATTCTATCATAGAATTCTTACATGAATGAGATTTTTTTCAAACAATTTATACAATGTGACGATCATCTGGTTACTTGGTGATAAACAGTGTATGGTTGTTTAACATCACAATTGTCATAGAACAATGGCAAGAGCATTCATTGACTGTGATGATTTCAATCCTAGTGAATGTAAAACCTTTTATGATGATGATGATGATGTTTAAATTCACTAAAACTTTAACATAGACAATAATCACAAACAAAACACTTTGTCTATTGTTTCCTAACAATTAATTATACACAATTGTCTGGTAATATTCACAAACGAATGTTTATGCAAAGAATTTGACTTCATTCAAGTATATGGTTCTAGTTGCTTTTACATTATTTCTTTTATCAAACAATACACACTTCTTATGGATACATTGATATTATATCGAGAAGAATATAGAAAATTTGTGTAGAGTGGCCATATTTTTCCGTCTTTGTTTTAAATATGTTATAACAATAACAGTGAATTGAAACTAAACGGACAACTAAAGGTCCACTCCTGAAAAGTCAGACGATGATAATGTTAACTCTAAAAGCATATCTACGACAAAGTTAAACAAGAATAAGGAGGGTGGGTAGCCCTGGCGAACACCTCTTGAAGTTAAGAATACCGATGACAGTTCGCCATAAGCTCTTACCGGTAGTGTTCGAGTAGAGAGCCCGTATAATGTTAATGTACACCTTATAATGACAGACACTGCCACAGAACCTCGCGATCGACAGAGTCGAATTCCGCCTTAAGGTCGAGAAATACTACAATTGTGGGGCGTCTGAAGGTGTGTCTATGTTCTAGGACCTAACGTAGTGTGAAGATGTGGTCTATACAGCCACGTCCAAGTGTGAAACCACCCTGGATTTCTCTAGTCTGCTCTTCATGAGCTATACTTAGGTGTCGAGGTATTATTGAGGCCATTATTTTAGATACTATATTAGTTAGACTTATCCCTCTGTGGTTGTCTCAAGAGGACTTTTGTCCTTTCTTATAAATTGAAACAATCAATAATTGAGACCAGTCAAATGGGATTACGTCCAGTTTCCAGTTTATCCCTAAGATCTCAGTCAATTTAGCTGCTAAAACTGAACCACCATTGTTAAAAATCTCATGGGTAAGTCTGTTAGGCCCTGAAGCTCGCCCTCGCTTCAGATTTCCTAACGCTTTCTCAACTTCATAAAGACTAAGGGGACTTACGTCGATTAGCCATTCAGTGTGACTAGAGATCATGGACAACCGAAGTATGACTGAAGGTCAGTTGAACTGATTCCTTAAGTGTTCTGCCCATCGATCCAATCTTCTGGATTGAGAATGAATGATAAGACCATCTTTTTCCGAAATATTCTCACTTACATTCTGGTTCCTAATACCGGTTTCCCTGATAAGTCTGAATAGTTGCCTGCTGTTGCTGCTGCCATTTCCATCTCCCGCTTTCACTACCCACCACAGTTCGTGATCAATGCGTAGGCTTTTTATCATCCTGCGCTGAAGCTGACTTCGCTCTTCGACATGTTTAGAGCCAGATGGGATGAACAATCTGCAATTGAAAATGAAGTTCAGAGCCAAGTTAGGCATATCCAACATAAACATATTTGGGATACTTTTCTTCTCCTCTGAAAGCAAAATGTTGCTTCACGACTAGTTTGAACCACTAGTGCACAGTAGTTTGCTCTGTGCTACTTAATGGGTATGGAGCCTTATCTATGGAAAATGTGCGTAGGCCAAAGTTCTTCGCTTATAAATGTCATTGAAACAGTTCAGACTAACTGTGGAGTAACACAGTGATCAATATTGAAGCTAAGCATGAAATAACGGATAAATATGATAAACTGGTTCATTATTAACTGCGATAGCTGAGATAGGTATTGCGTACGCTTAACCACCATCCACCTCAATGTGTATTTTTAACTGGTGCAGAAGTGGACTGGAAGAAAACTAAGAGGAGGGTCAAAGTAGAATGTCACATCAGTCCATGAACTAATCAAGTTAACTCAAGTCATGTTATTAGGTATAGATTACCTGATTAAGGTTGACGCAATAAATACGATCTGTAGCTGGTCAAGTTCAGTGACATGATAAACAATCGATTATAATGGCAGATGTGAATACTCTCTTTCATTGCCTTAAATCTTGAGTTGCAAAATTATTTTCTTACCACTAATACCACAACTACTTCTAACATTCTGATAATCATCTTGACAGTTTCTTCCTACTGTGTTAATATGTTATGACAACTTGAACCAATGTAGATATTTAGGAGTTTTTTTACGTTCCTTAACACTGACACTGACTCCTCATATATTTCCTATAAAATTTGTAACTTTGTGAATTCATTCAAGAGTTTGTTCACCTTAATTCCCAGATTTTGATAATAAGAATATTGTAGAACTATTTAAGAATATAATACTTAAAAACCAATAAAGATTAAGTTTTTATATTCAATAATCAATTCTTAATAAACAGTATTGTATTACATATTGTTAAGTATTCAATTTTATTGATCAATTTACAAAACAATGACTCGGTTAAATGATTAAAGAGTGTTATGAATTTTTTGTTTGGTGACTTTCACTCATCTAATACAAGTATTAGGATACAAGAAGTTAATGATTTCATCTTAGTATTTTATCTGTGAATGTGTACAGTGTACGAGGTAATCCGACGATTGATAGGCAAACGTTTATTTAAAAAGGCAAATAGCTCTGATCGTTTGAGAGCTTAAAAATCATAAATTGATTGAAAAATTACATATCAAACATTATTTAATCGTTGAATTTGTATTAGCTCTATTCAACAATGTTAATTGATTCATTTCAATAGTATAGTAAACAAAAATTTTCTTTCATACCATCAGAATAAACAAATAAAATAAAATAAAGTTATATTTGTTCAGATTAAATTACATCATAGTGAGTTTTTAATACTGAAATAATTTATGTAAAATAGCATTCTAATATATATATATATCAATACAGAACTTCATGAGCTGTACAACTGCAGTTTCAGGCTTTTAGTTAATTTTATGCAATTTACGAGACACTGACAAACAATTTAATTTAACCTTATAACCTTCATTGTTATATGTAACTTGTATGCCAAGTAACAATTAGATGATGTGTACAGATAGATAGATGTTTTGTTATGAAAATAAACTTTTGTATTCTATTAAAAATTATTAATAATACTAGTAATAGCATGGTTTAACATTAGATCTATTCAGGAATGTTGGCAAAAGCATTATAGGAGTGTGACAGATTTACTAATTGATCATCACAAGTCATTAAATCATGCTGATAAATCTGAACGTTAATTGATATATATATATATATATATATATATATATATATATATATATATATATATATATATATATTAAGCTATAGATATGTATACTATGCCATCATTATGGGTCAATTTAATCTTCCTTGTCAGATTTGTTTAAATGAACAGTGAATTTCGCAAATAACAATTGTAAATACAACTGTTATAATTTCATTCAGAGTAATAATAGATTTCATTTTACGATCGTTTGTATTCCACTTCCTAGCATTTACAAAATAATGCAATATCATGAATTCATGTCCTATTCACTAAGTAATATAGTTTCTTCCATAATATTCACAATTTAAAAACCAATAAAACTCTGAAATTACTCACATGAGCTTCATCTTAATGTCGGTTGTTTTGTTTACTTTCTTATCTATTAACTACGGACTGTAACAACAGTTTATAGTTCTATTTAGCCTGTCAAACTTATCTATAACAAGACATTCAACTGTTCAATTTCAATAACTAAAAGTTTAATACTGTTAAACTTAACTCTAGATTGTCTAGTTGAGAGCTTGATATTAGGACGATATTGATCCAACTGATCGCTACGACGAATTGTGCTGTTTATTGATTTTTAACTCCTTAAAGCCATTCATTATATATTTTATTACCTACTCATAAATAGGTTGTAATTAGACTAAGGTACGACAGGCATTCGATAATTCCATTGATTAAGTCATTAGTTTCATTCTCATTTTCATCAATTTAACATGTGTCGTCCATTGACTTTCTGTGATCAGATCTATCTGATCAGTCAGTCAGTTAAAACGTAGAACTTCGTACATGAGTATATAAGTTCAGGTTGCCATACCGCATCATCAAACAGATGCAAATTTCAGCTCAGACCCAATAGTGGTAGCGACAGTAAAAGTATTAGCATTAATGTATCCTTACCGTAGCTGCGACCTTGAAGTGGTGGTCAAGCTTGCCTGTCGTGATGACTCAACCGAGCTATATTGGTTGGATCATATGTTCCTGAGGGTTCTACCATGCCAGCTAGGCAGATCGGTTGGAGAACGTGAGACTAAAAGCAACTACTCAAGGTCTGAGGGCGAAGTCGTACTGCTGACTGCAGAGGGGTATGACAGCAGTGAGGTGTTTCCCTCAGACAGCCAGCATCTGCAGCGATGCTGCCTTCTCACAAGGAAGGAAGGTTTAGGAAAGGTCGATTCTAAAAATGTCACACCACACCTTACCTCATGGATTTCCGTTTCCGGCGGTAAGGGCTTTTAAAAAGAGTGCAGCTAATACCCAAAAAACCTTTCATGAAAATGCCGTGCATGACTGGCCTCAAGCAGCTGTCCGTTGGGATCTGCGGTCACGCTCCAAAGTCTCTAAGACCTAAGCTAATCTAATTTCCTTTTCAGGTTTCTCAAGAAACACCTTGACACGGTGTGGGGAGCCGGTATGTGAAATCCGCCCTCATACACGTAACAGCACGCGAGACCAGATTGGTCACAATCATATCTTTCCTACACCCCTTAACATCTTTCTTATCTCCTAGACTAGCTCTTCTCACATTCCTTTATCTGATCAGTAGAGCTCAAGATAGAGATATGTATTTTTGTTTTGAATATTAGTTAAATTGTAGTAAAAAAAAACATGTTGAAGTTAAAAAAAAGAATTAATTATTTTTGGAAAGATTTCGATTTCCAATTAACTACGGAAAATCGATAACCTATTTTGCTGTAAATTAATTATAAGTGTATATCATACTTCAAGCAAATTCTTACATTATTCTCAATCTGTTAAGTTCAAACTTATACACTTGTTCCGTGTACAAAATAAGATATCTTGGTATTTTCTTACAACTATTCATAATGCATACAATGTCATCGCTTGATTTCACAATCCATTTGATATTGAATCATTAAGAACAATAATTTAAAATAATGATTCTTGTAACACTTAAACTTGACAATTTACGTTAAAGTTAATATTTTCGGGACTAAGGATTTAAGTTTCAAATTAACAGTACAGGAAATAAACAGGCGCTAATTGATTTACAACCGTGTTTCGTTTGACAATTTATTTTAGCCAAAACATTGTAACAAAGTCGACATTAAGTACCCAGAAGAACAAAGTACTGTTCTCATCAAGGAAATTATTCAATAATTACCAACTCATTAGATATATACATATATTTTTTTTAAAAAATATTTGGCATTTTTAAACGTGTCAATTTTGTCAATATCAATAATCTTCATTATGAGAATTTGGCAAATTACTATTATTATTATTATTATTATTATTATTATTTTAACATTTTCTGCCATAATCAAGCCATGTTTCAATTTTAAAGTAAAAAAGTATGTTATATATGTAAAATATCGGAAGATTATTTAATTGAAAAATAACTAATTTTACATACATTGAAAAATACCAAAAAAGAGTAACATGCAGACTGTAAAGTTTGGCATGTAAAATTGTTTTTTCTTCAATGATAACAATGTGGCAAGAGTATATTCAAATCAAATTTAATGAGTTAAGCATTAGAGAAATAATAATAAAATCCTAACAAAGTATTGAGAAATGGAAATTAAATACTAATATTATTACTAATAATACTACTATTACCCTTTTATGTTATGCATAATTTATACAAAACAACAGCAACGTAGAACTTCGTACGTACATGCGTACGTGCATTAGTTCAAGTTGTCATACCACATTAGCACAGGAATATAATTGTCGATTCAAATCCCATAGTAGTAGAGCTAATAAAAGTATTAGCAGTAATCGGAGAGATTAAGGTTCGAAGATATTATTGGAGAAGTATAATTCAATGAGATAACTTTTGAAAAAGTAAAATAGAGATGATGAGGAATTGCAAACGGTTTTGAGCCATATCATTCAGGGTCTCTGATCGTCGATTACTATCATCTCGTGGACCACAATCAGGTAGTCGACACCTACTGACATGACTTAGTCCACCTGTCAGTGACTTTGGTCTGGCTTTCGTCCCACCTATTCCTACGTCGCGAAACATAGCTCGACGAAGCAGTCGGTGGTTAGACATAGGCAACACATGTCCCAACCACCTTAAATGATGAAGATTCAATACTTCATACATTGATCCGCCATCCTTACCTAGAACTCCGCCTGTAGACCCTTTGGGGCTATTGCCGGTCCCAAGCCCGGATAAAGGAGGAGGGTTGGGATTGGCGACCGCATCCCGGAAAAAAAACTAACTTGCCAAAAAAACGCTAACAAGAAATGCATAGTTCATTCACAAGTATGGATAAGAAATATGATGAACTGTAACACTGACACAATGTAAAATGTAATCCAATATATTTCAGTGATTGATAATATGCATTAAAAAGAAGAGTAAATACTAATCAAATGCCTATCGCTGAACTGTTAACTCTAATGAACAAAGTAAAGTATCTTCAATTCGTACTAAGCCTAAAAGGGTACTGTAATTTTGGTGTAAGCACAATCCCAGTATCCTGTATGTAGACGATAGATTTTTTCTATCGCTATTGAGTTTCAAGATTTACAGTCTGAATTGTTCAAGTAACAAGAAATAGTACTTTGATACTGTAGACACGCTTGTAAATATGAACTAGTTCCAATCTAGTTATATCTGTTTTAAGTTCTCAAATGACTTTGTTGATTGCTTATCGTTGAAATATCGTCCATGATAATTGGACCAATACAACTATACTTATGCTAGTAACATTTATGTACTTCACCTTCACTATACGTTTTCATTTGACAAATTGCTATTAAAACACTTTAAGTGATTTAATTTCAGTTGTATGTGTTGATTTGTATAGGTGGTCATCTAAAGCTATTGGATTAACCCACCCATCCTGATCAGATTTTGGAGGTAATTTTCATTAATGATTTGTGATTAGCCAACGTACTTTTTGAAATTGATCGTCACTTAAATCTTACTTATCAATTTACAAAATAAAATACAATTTAGTTATATTATAAATCTTGATAACCTAATTCACTGATAGCAACAGAGTATTATTGAACAGCATTATACTCTTAAATATTAAACTATTCAGTAGTACATATCTACAATTATAATAAGGAACTAAAAAATTAATTGTATAGTAAAACGAATAAATAAGATTTTATTTCATTTTCTTTAAAAATAACTAAATATATTATACAATGTAGAATTTAGAAAAATCTTAACAAAGAATAATTATTATTATTATCTGTTACGATTCAATTTGATTTAATTGATTTTCTAATTGAACACGAAGAGCAGGGTCAACATGACATTTAATTAAAGCATCAGCTATAGCAGGAGAGCCTATTTGATTTTGCCATAAATTTAATTCACTTCTAAGTCGTTGTTTTAAATTGTTCAGTGAAGAAATTCCAATTGGATAAGAATGATAAAAATGCATATTTTCATCTTCAGTAGTTATTTCATCTTTATCGTAGAGAACCTTTAAAAAAGATGAAATTAAAAGATAAGGCAATAATAATAGAAGATGAATGACTGGTCTTAAGCTAGTAGTTGATTAGTACTTAAAAGATGGTGTAATACCATAAATTCATCGATGATCGCTATATGAACCAGTAAACCCCAAGTGCGTGGATTTATTATGTCATTTGTTCCCTGACAGATAAAGCTCCTTAATATCATTTAAAGTTTGGTCAGGAGTGTGTAATGATGAAGTGTGTATATAGTTGTAAATAGTTGTTCAATTTTCAATGGTTGTCTATAGCTTTCCCGCTGACTATAATTTGTGATTAATTAAGATTACCAACAACGTTGTATTTTATAGTCGCTTACTGTTCAACAAGAAAATATTTCAAAACTTACTAACACAGTGATGGGATGGGATAATGTAAGACATGAAACTGACAAAACACCAACCTGTTTATTGTACAGTTGTGAAGATTTTCACCATATGTCAATCTAACTTTGTTTAGTCATTCTATACTACTTATTAATAATCAGTAGTCTGACTTTGTGTGATTAGTATTTGATTACCACATGTACTAATCGTAGCAACTTCACAATACTTCATTCTGATTCCAACGTTTCACTGGACTCGCCTACTTGTGACAGTGCTGGATCATCCTTTTAAAATGTCTATTGCTTGCGCTATTATTTATGTGTGTTACGATGAGCTACTGGTCGATTCACAAAATAAAGCACAAAACTTATTTCGCTGATATTCTCATTTGTTTTTCTTAAGGTCTAATTATCACTCTGATATCCCAGGATGAAAGCTGTGTGGATACATATAATTTTCTCCGTTTCACTTAAACTTATCATAATTCCATAGAAATTCTTGATTTTTCTTTTCGGGATTAAAATCTTTGGAACAAATCCTATGAGAATAATAACTTCACAAAATATATGTGTTTAATGACAGAAGGGAATATTTTCAACAGAAAATATAAAAGATAGCTGTACCAAAAATCTCTTGCAAACAAATGTAATAAGCTTAAAATTAAATGCAGTGCAGAATATATACGAAGATAATAATTACAAACCTGTATCATAAGATTGATGACTGGTTCAAGCCATTGAGCGTGCCAAACATCATTTACAGCTAAATCTTCCAAGTATTTTGCATCAAGTATTTGATGATCACCAATGGTGTATGAATGAACACCTTGTCTAAAACAAGTGATAACAGCCACAGCTATACACCGTCGATCAATATAACTAGACAAAGAATCAACACGTCCTAACCAACGACTAATTGGTGAACTTAATAAGTTTCTCAATTCATCCATTGTAGAATAACACTGTTGACCAATGGAATTATAATATTCTTGTAGCAATAAATGTAAATTAGTTGGGTTGTTATTATCAGAAAATTTATGAACTAATTGTAATATATAAGTAAAGCAAGACCTGAAATATAAAATGATAGAAGTCAACTTTAAATAGTATTAGTGTAGAATATGAGATAAACAAAAACTGTGGTTATTTGTATTCTACTCCCTCTAAATTGAATATAATATCCAGATTAATTATAATGCATCACTGATAATCCAGGAGTCATTTCTGTTATGACACGTGTTGTTTAAGACTGATATTAATACATAAAAATTATTAAACGCAAGCTCCCAATCGGCTACAAAATGAGAAGATTAAGGAGTGTGAAGTAGAAGGTTTATTAGGTCAAACTGAGTCAAATTCATGAGCGCCCATTTAGAGATGCATGTCTATTCTTTGAAAAAATAAAATAAAATCATTTTTTGACCAATAACAAGCATTTATCTCATTAGGAGATTCTTGACTGGTATAACGTACTTTTATCAGTTGGTGGCTTTGGACTGACACACTAGGTATATATATATACCTACATCCTATATCCTACCTATGCATCAGCCGATAAATGCGCTGACACTCCAGGAGTATAATAAAACATGTGATTATAAATAGTACTAAAGCAGTTATTCATGGAGTTCATATTATCGACAGAAACAGGAAAGAATTTCAATTCAGAATAACAAAGATGAAAAGCACAAACCCTTAAGATTTATAGTTATAGTTTATTAGAAAGATAGTAAATTCCACCGATCATATTTTATTTTCAGTCATGCTTCATTCAACTAAACAGATTTATACGTTTCAATTAATTTTATACTTTGCAAACGAAGTCAATGTTGATTATTTGATTCATTTCCACAATAAAAATATTCATATACCCTTTGTATAATTACAAAAAAAACTGATTTAACTTTGAGTATATAAACCTGTACTTGGAAACTTAGTTAAATATATAAAGGTGTTAAGCAAGAATGCATAGCATATAGTCCTGTTATCAGATAAATGTTTACAGTTTGATCTACCAAATTTTCTTTAACGTTCAATTACATTATTATTCATTCAATGGTTTATATATATACACCCTTTCACGGTGTGGGCAGCCGGGAAGTGACAACCACCCTCATACCCGTAACAGCACACAAGATCAAATTGATCAAAATCAAGTCCTTCCTACACCCCCTAATGCCTCTCTTATCTCCACAACTAACTCTTCTCACATTCCTTTATCACACAGCACAGCTAATGCAAACGATGCGAGTTCACGAAACGTCATTTCTGGTCTCCTGAAACCCCGCTCTAGACTACATGTTGGAGCATTCAATGTACGGACATTGTGTCAAATAGGGAAATAGGCATCATTAGCTAGGACTTTAGAATCTCGCGCCATTGATGTGTGCTGCGTCTCGGAAACGCGCATACAGGATCCCAGTAGCATAATTCACTTGACCTCACCATGTCAAGATAAAGAAGCAACTCGATTTACTCTTCGTGTATCCGGTAGCCTTGATGCTGCTTCCAGGGGTCCCGCTGGTGTATGTATAGCTTTGAGTCGTAGGGCAGAACCATCTCTCCTAGACTGGATCCCTGTAGATAGTCGCTTGTGCGTTGTCCGACTAAACGGGACAGTAGGGATTCGAAAGGATAGGGACACTCGTCGTTGTCTCTTCGGCATATCAGCCTACGCCCCCACTGACTGCAGTTCAGACGAGGTTAAAGATGAGTTTTACAGAAAGCTTTCGGACCTCCTCCAACAAGTTAAGCGCTCTGATATAGTTATAATGGCTGGTGACTTCAATGCACAAGTAGGTAGACTAAGTGAAAATGAAAGACACCTTGGTGGATGTTACGGTCTCGCGGCTCAAAGAACAGACAATGGCGACCGTCTGTTGCAACTGTGCTCAGATAACCAACTATTTCTAGCAAACACTAATTTTAAGCATAAGGAAAAACATCTTTTGACGTGGCGACCCCCGAAGTCGTCTCAACGTTGGACACAACTAGATCACATCGCCATCAGCCACCGATGGAGAGGTTCGACAGAGAACTGTCGCTCGTTCTGGGGCACATGTTTAGATTCACATCATGCCTTAGTGCGAACGCGTATTTGTTTGAGGCTTACTGGACGTTTATCAATATAACATATCAATGCTTTAAAAGTACTTATGTCAAAATACACAGAATATATGCATCATATTGCATTTTCGTAAGTTTTAAATTCTAACATAACACAAACACTTTTATGATAAAACACAAACTTACCACATATTAGGATATAATACTAATCGAGCAAGAAGTTCTAGTCGACATTCTGTAGCTTTTGGTGTCACATCAGAATGTGCATCCTCAGGTGCACGAATTAAACAATATTTAGCCGCTAGAAAAACTAAACCAATTGCACTTGATGGTAAAGGTGTAATATTTTGTTGAGAATATTGAATATCCAAGTAAATAGTGAACCAAATAATGAATAATTTTAGTTGATTTATTCTTTAAGAATTGAATATAAAAAATAAAGAATATAAGGTAATGAACGATAAGTTAAATGAATAATTGTATGAGGATTATTATGATTGAAGAACTAATGAAGTTGAGCACATACAACATTAAATAACAGAAGTGAACAAGTCAATTGGTAGAAATCTCTGATTTGTAAGTAATTTCTATTGTTCACAACTAAATAATAAACACTCTACATGTGATACTAATATTAGCTGATATAAATTACATTCAATATAATTGAAACTTTTACAATGGTAGATAAGTTACACTGTCATAACAACTGCTTTATTCAAAATTAACTGTTAACACTCATTGTGAGTGTGTTTGAGAATGACAATACATCCATTAAAGGAGGTGTTGGGCTTAGAAGAAAACAAACTATCTACACTTCATCATGTAGGTGTGAGTATGCGCCACTAGATTGAAATATCTTCTTATAGACCGATAAAATATGAGAAATTGACTTTTTCATTCAGATACTACATAAATAATGATTTTCTGTAATCGCTGTTTGTTTGATGAGTAGTGGTACTTCCCGATGATAAATTATGGCACTATCAAAGCTTCGATTTGATCTTCGCCAGTATATACTGGTAAAACTAGCTTCATTTCAGTCTGTAGAATGTAAATTCAAAAAAAACACCACTAGATCGAAACTAATACTTTCTCTCCCCAGACTAATCAGTGATTCGTAAAACTAACCGTTTTACCGACTTACAGAAGTAATGTCGATATTCGATAAGAAAAATTAAGTGTCTACTCCGATGTAACATTTTCTTGACATATGCAAGTAATAATTTGTTGCTAAAGAATGGTCAATTCGCATACACTGTGATAGCAGGAGCTTTACGTGCGTCGGAAACCGGTGGTTCTTCAAGTGTTCAATACCAGACTAAATTTTTGATATTAGAGACAGTTTTATCCATCAAGTCATACATCTAAATGAAACACATACATATTGAGTAATAAATACGGAATTTCTTTATAACATAAAACATATATATGTATTGTATACGAAACTTTTTTATGACAAATTTCCTAGCCAAGTGAGTGATATAGTAAATGAGATAATCGCATACATAATCAGTGATAGAACTTGGAAATACCTGTATTTCGACTCTTCATCCGTTTTATTTTCATCATAAATGCATGATGAAGCAGCTTGAGAATAAAGATCCTCTAAATTCACTTGTTCCCCAAGTGAATTCCCGTTCAGACAAACAATCAAAATGGATATCCAAAATGGTTCAGACCATTGACAAATAAAATTCTTTAAAATCTCACTACCAGCTTTGTGAGCTAGCCTTAAAGTACCATAGGCAATACGAAAGACAAGCTATAATAATGAGAAAGTGAAAAGTTATCAAACACTGTATTCAAGAACCAAAAAAAATACATTTAATCAAATGAGAAAGGAACAACACATAAAGAATAGTTAGAAATATTGACTTTTAGATTTTCAGTCTAAATCTTTTAGCACTTGAATGTGTTAGTATTGACTAAACAAAATAAAGAAAAAATTATCAATAATGATTGACACATACAATAAGTATGACTCATTATTCAAAACTCTTTGTTACATTGGCATACTGAAGGTGACGATGAGCTATTTACTTGAGCATATCATTATTAAGAGTTAATCATCAATTCCTTAGTTTGACGGAGATTGATATGTCGCCGAGGAATTCCCAAGTGTAACGTCAGTAATTTAAGTAATAAACAATCCGTATGAAACAGACAAAATTCCTAGCGTGTTTGATATGCAGTTTACAGTTTACATAAAACTTAATGAATTTTGAATGATAGATAGTTGTTAAAACAATGATGCCTTAAAGAAAGATACAATGTTTTAGTTCTGCTTTATACTGGTGTTTTGAGTATAATTGGGATATATAAATATAAGCTTAATGAGTTTAGACTGAATAGTAATATTAATGTTTATGTAAGAGAATTGGTAAGTAAAAAATTTCGGTATTCTAGTGAACAGGTTGATTAGTGAAGTCGAGGTTATTAGTAATATTTCGATTTTAAAGTCATACACTTTTTGATTAACAATTGTTAAATAAGTAGCTTAACTATAAGCTGTACTTTGGCTAAGGATTTAACTTGATAAGAATTTAAAATTTTGTTAGAATACTATATCGTGATCTAATTCGTCAAAAACACCGAACAAATGAACAAGTAGGTCGCAACCATAAGAACGAATAATTTATTGAGAAAACAGAGATATTATATAAATATTTACTGTTGTATTTTCCTATGTATATATAACGTGGTTGTGTGTGCATGTGTTGGGTAATTTTATTTATCTCATCGAACATTTACTGACCACAATAATCTTTATCATTTATGGAAATATTAGCTAAAATTTACAGTGACATGATACCAACTCATGAAGTTGATAGTAATATAGAGAAGAATACAAAAAAAAATTTTCCACAAGTCTTTGAACAGACAGCATTGATTAACTGAGGTGTTGTGATACACTAATATTGACTCTTTCATCAGCCTATTCAATTATATACTAGTCGTGCATTGATGTTTTAAAAATAACTAATGATTCCTGTTGAATTTCTTTTTTCTATGATATTTCAAAGTATAAAAATCTTAATTAGTGAACATCGGTCAGCATAGATGTCCCTTTATTAGTTCAACTATTTATTCATCTAAAATGGGCAAGAGTAATCAGGTATTGTTTTTAGGAAAAAAACGATCTAATATTTCAGAATAGTAAGTGATATTAGTTTATGCATGAAAATCCTAATAGAAAGTAAGCTGAATAGGTATAAATCAGTTGTTTTGATTCAATTGTTGATGATAAGGAAAACTGAAACTTCCGCGATAATGTTGCGCGTCAAAATTTGTTTATTCACTCTTTTTTTTCGTTTTTATTTATTTTGTGAAAAATTCACTTGACAGAAAGCAAATAAAATTCTATTAAGAACTGTGATTAAATAAATAATACTAAGCTGTGAATGTATATCGTACGTTTATGCATTGTGATTATATATATATATATACTATTTCAAGAATGATAAGTTAATAGACACTATTCGACTTACATCAGCCTGTTCACCAGAATCAACACGACCAAGTAATGGTTGTTTTAACGTATCATTAATTGACTGACCTCCACTAGTTTGCATCAAACGTACACTATCTCCAACTAATATAGGCATTAAATTAATTAAATCTGATGACCATGTAGAATTAAGGCCTTCAACTAAACTTGCCCATAAACGAATAGCTGGTTCAAATAAAGCTTCTGAACCAGTTATTTCATTTTCTTCTTCTTGATTTAAGGACATTTGAATTAAATGAATTACAGAACTACGTATTAATGCATTAAACTCAGGGAGAAATGTAGAACATCCATTGAATCCATTAAAGTCAGTAACTAGAAGACAGACAGCATTTAGAATACTAGCTCGTAGTGCAGCGCTGAAACCACCTGTTAAAATAAGTTGACAATAAAACATTAAAATAGATAATAAACATAACAAGTAAATTAACGTAAGGTACTTAACAGAAAACTACATCTCGCTATAGATTTAAACTAACTGTGCTAGTAAGCCAAAACACTAGACCGAGCGAATACTTCTAACTGATTTTTTCATCACCACTGCTACCAAATAAACAAGACGATTCGATTCGCTTACTGTGACAAGCCAAATGAACAAAATCAGAAGACTTGTTCCATGAGGTACTATGGTAACAGACCGAATGGCTGCAGAAAGGAATGACAAGACAGCACATTTCAGGTATTTCTGTATTATTAAGTATATATGAAACGAGACCAATGAAACCACTTAACATATGTGGGTTATAAGTGCTCATTAGGTATCTGTGAATAATTGCTTTCAAGTAACTCAACCACTGAGTGACCGACGATGACCTTGACTGTATAACTTTGGCTAAACGGGACTCACAGGTGTACGAATTTAAAAACCCTAATCCGCTGACATGATAAGGTTTATGCGTAACCCATTATCATGTACCATTCATTTCAATGCGTCATCATCCCAAGCTCAGATCAAGATAGTAAAAGTCGTAGAGATTAGACCAAAAAATAGTACCGTCTTACCAAGTCATTGCTAATCTGTGTTGCATGTATAGAGTAGTATGAGAGTTCATCTTATACAAATTATTCCATATTTTTCTCAGTGTGAATCGTTTTAGCCAGCTCACTACTTCGTATCATAGCCTGGTTTTAAAAATCACTGCTGACTAGGGTATATGTTATCTAAATACTTAGACAGGTCATTACTGTTTTTTCTATATATTTGTATTACATAAATCAACCAGTACCCCATAAAACTCTCTGAACAAACTGTAAAAAGTAATAGAGATGACATTGTAAAATGAAACGAGATTGAGCATGTACACTTTTGTATCAGCTCCTCATACTATTTTACCAGCATGCAATGGTATAGAATATACAAATAAAACTGTTACATACAGTAGCATATTGTCATTATGATATTAAAAATCTTTCACATACATATATTTCAATTGATTATACAGTAATTTAAATATAACCTCTACTGACACATTAAATTCAAAATTTATCCTACCTATTTAAATAAAGGTTAATGTAACATACAAATTATTATATATACATTGGACTTACTAAGACTCCATAAATGATTTAAAGTATTCAGAAGTGGAGTAATGAATTGAGGATAAGCAATTAAATCAATTTCACGAATTAATTTCCCTAATAAAGTTAGCACATAAATTTGTGTTTCACATTCTTTAACATCCTAAATTTATGTATAGAAAGACACAGAGAGAGATATAAACAAAGATAACATGAAGTTTTAAAGTAATCTTAAAAAATTCTCAGTGTTGTTTGCAACTTTCAGATGTTTATTTTAGTATTCATATAAATCGATCAATATAAAATACATAATTAACCCAGATAATATCCTTCAAATCTTAACAGAAGCCGAAAATAGTGAGGCCTTTGCTAGTTAGTCAATACTTATCGGAGAATCCAGAAAATTCCTTGACGCAATAACTATGCGCATCAGTTTGATCAAACTAGACCAGTGTATAAATTACTATTAATAATGGCAATCCAGAATCTAAAGAATTTTAGTAATCATCTAATCAGAAGTCAATTATTATAGAAAGAACTGATATTAAAACAAAATCATTGACCACCTTCTGCTCTTATTTAATGGTATAAGCAAATCCAACAGATAAGGAATGTTAGAAAAAAACAAAGTTAGTTATTAAAGTATTTGGATTTAAAAATTTAACAGAATAAGGCTAAAAATATACATATACTTCCTTCTAGGATGTCTTTGCCTATGGCACTTAATCGTGAGTTTAGACTCCACATAGATAGCTAATTTCCTTAACATTACATATGCACCTTGCTGACAAGTGTTAACTAGCACAAAATTAGGATTTAAAACATCCTATAGATTACTTCTAATCAATTAAGAGTGAAAAACTTTCGGCATGAATTGCATTGTTGTTAATAGATATTCAGGCAGCCAAAGACAAAATTATCAGAACCCTTAAATCTAACCGGAAGTCAATGACTGATAAAGAAAATCTTCGTAAATAGTTTACACTCACACGTAGAAATTATAGTAGGTTTATGGATAACTAGTGCATTCATTTATCAACAAATTACTCAATTCAAAGATCCGGGGATGTAAAAGAAGTTTCTTACAGACAAAATTTTTCCTACCTGGATTAAAAAAAGTGTACCATTTAGTAAATTTTCAGCATGTAACACCAAAATATCCTCAGGAAACACTGTTACTTCCAAAAACCACATAAGACTATGCGCAGATGCCAATCTGATGCACATCATTAGTTGCTTTTGTAAAACATTTTGATCCCAATTAGATGGACGATTCAAATATCGGTTGATATGTAAAAGAGCATTATTACAGTTAGGTTTCAGCGATGAACTATTCATAAATATTAATAAAACATATAAAAATATATTTAGAGAAAATAAACCAGTAAGTTTTACAACGAACATGCCATCAGACCAATATTCCCTCGTAGTCTTTTAGTGTACGTATATAAGTTAGATTACTTCTCTCATTAGAACTGCTCATGTAATGGCTAAATGATGTACGCTACACATCATATGCAAGTAGTCTATTTATACTAATAGAGTGATATTGTGACCGAGTAACCGCTAAATATTGAGAACTGAAGTACCTACATTCTAAAGTTCCATGTGTTAAAGTGTCAGATAGTTAAAAGTAACGAAAGTAACTCAACTCTTACTCACTAGTCAGATAGCTGATATACTAACAATATTTCACATAGTATTCGATTATTTATTCAGTAGATTGACTGTCTTCACAGATTTACGAACCCCCTACCAAGATGTCTGTGTCTGTGAACGCAATTCAGGCTAACAGGTAACAACTTCGCAGATTAATCACGTCTACTTTGCTGATCGTAGCTGCTACCTGGATGTGGTGGTCAAGCTTGCCTATAGTGGTGACCTAACCGAGCTATGTTGGTTGAAACCCCCGTTCCTTTAGGTCTTACCATGCCACGCAGGTCGATTGGAGAACGATGAGACTAAAAGCAGTAACTTAAGGTATGGGCACGAAGTCGTACTGATGACTGTATAAGAATGTGACAGCAGTAAGGTGTTTTCCTCAAAAAACCAAGATCTGCAGCGATGCTGCCTTCTCACAATGGTAGGGGTTAGAAAATGTCGACCCTAAAATGTCACACTTCACGGATTTCGATCTACGGCGGTAAGGGTGTTTGAAAATGCAGCCAACACGCTAAAAAATTCCCATAAAAAGGACGCGCACGACCAACCTCAGGCATCTGTTTCTTGGGCTCTGAGGTCACGCTCCCAGGTCACTAAATCCAATGCTAACCCAACTTCCCTTTCGGTTCGTTCGAGAAGAAATATCTTCAACGGTGTGGGTAGCCGGGAAGTGACGACCGCTCTGATACCCCAAACAGCACTCGAGGTCAACTTAGTCAAAACCAAATTCTTTCTTCTCTCCACGACTAAACCTCACCCATTTGACTACCACTCATTCTGGGGCATGTTCAGATTAGGATCGTTATCTAGTACGAGCATGTACTCATCTGAGGCTTACTGAACATAAGAAAAACACAGCAAGAGAGCCTTTTAGAGTCCTACTTAACAGTAACATAGACAAGAGTACATTTTGAGAGCAACTGGAAAAACGGTTGCACAGACATGTAAGTGATGCCCACACCGAGGCAGCTTGGAATGATATCCAAAAGGCTGTGGAGACGCCAGTGATATCTGCCAGTAAGGTAAACACAAAGGTTGGAGAGAAGCAGGGAATTTCAACAGCATCTACTAAACCAATAGATGTTCAGAAACTTATCTCGTCTGGCTCTAAACATGACGAGGGGTGAATGTAGCTTAAACTCAGACTGATAAAAAGCCTACGCAATGATCGCAAACAGTGGTAAGTAACGAAAGCAAAAGAAATGGAAAAGGCAATTACAATAGGTAACAGTAGATAACTGTTCAGACTTATCAAAGAAACTGGTAATAGGAGTCCAACTGTTAGAGAGACTATCTCGGAACACGATGGAACTATTATTCATTCTCAATCCTAGAGATTGAAATGATGAGCAGAATATTTTGGGGGGCAGTTCAACTGGCCTTCAGCCACATTACAGTTACCTACCACTTTCAGTCAACCTGAGTACCATGTTGACGTAAGTGCTCAAACTCTTAATGAGGTTGAAAACGCCAAAGGCGATCTAAGGAGAGAGAGCAGCAGGATTTGATAAATTAAGCCCTGAGACTTTTAAGGATAGCGGTCCAGTTTAGCAGTTAGATTGACTGAGATCTTAGCTAGAATTTAGCAACTGGGTGTGATCCCATCTGACTGGTCTAAATCGCTGATTGTTCTCTTGTGACAATGACAGAGGGGACAGTTTAACTAATATTGTGTCTAAAATATGTTTCAATAATACTTCGACGACCAACTAGAGCTCCAGAAAACCAGGCTGGTTTCGGACCTGAACGTGGTTGCACAGACCATATATTCACACTTCGTCAGGTCCTAGAACACAGACACATTTGAACATTCGACAACAGTTTTATTTCTCAACCTTTAGGCAGCATTCGACTCTGTTGATCATGAGGTTCTGTGGCACTGCCTATAGAGTACCAAAGAAGTACATTAACTTTTTACAGGTTCTCTACTCAAACTCTAATCGTTGAGTCAAAGTTATGGCGAACTGTCATCGGAACTGATTATTTCAAGTGGTGTTCGTCTGAGTTGTCCATTTTATCCATCCTTGTTTAACATAGTCATTCACGTGTTTTTAGGGACGACACATTCTTCATTTGACTTTTCAGGAGCTGACCTTCTACCAGGAGACACGCTTGCTGACTTAGAGCAAGCTGATGACACAGACAAAATGCAGTCTTCAAACCACCTTAAGCATGCATGTTCGGGATACGATTTCCATCCTCGAAATGCAAAATGCTACTTCAGGATTAGCTTGCATCGGCACCTAAACTGATGATAGGGAGTGAAGTAGTCAGGCGTGTTGACCGCTTCACTTATCTGGCGAGTCTCATCAGTGCTGATGGCCTGGTGACTGACGAAATCTCAGTTCGGATACAGCAGCCTCGATTGCCTTTAACCAACTTGAGTCACTTATGGCATAAGTGATACATCCGTCTACTAATGAAAGAGTGATTTTACTGAGAAACAGTTCAATCCGTTCCACTTCACGGGTTCGAAACATATACACTGAGGATAGAGGATATTCGCAGGTTACTAGCAGTCGACTACATGTGTCTTCGAAGCATTGCTAATAAATCTTGGGACCACAGAGTAAACCATGATGAGGTTAAAAATAGGGTGCTAGGTAAGTATGGTAAACCAACTGACGAAATAGTGAATCTTCATCAATTGAAGTGGTTAGGACATGTGTTACGAATGCCCAACCACCGACTGCCTCGACGAGCAATGTCGTCTGATGTAGGAGTAGGGAAGAAGTGGAAGAAAGCTTGAGGTGATCGAAGAAAAACGTGGCACAAATCCTTGAAGTCACCGACAACTGGATTGAGTCATGTTGGTAAGTGTAGACTTTCCGGTTAGGGTCCGCGAGACAATGGTAACTGGTGGTTGTATACTTTGAATCACATGGCTCAAAATCGTTTGCAATGATGCAGATGCATCCATTTTTTGTGTTCTCTCAAATTCTAATCTTCTCAATTCTTCATGACGTTTTATCTGTTTTTAAATTTATTTCGTTGGGATATACTTCTCGAATCCTAATCTTCGAACCCTAATTTTTTCCATTACTGTTAATACTTCTACTACGTTTACTACTATGGGATTTAAATTGACAATTCGATCTCTAATAGGGTATAACCACTTGAACTGATGTACGGGCGGGCCAAGTTCTAAGTTGTAGCTGACTGACCGACTGGTCTACTTTCTTCCTATCATTAATCAAAAGTTAGCATTTAAAGTGGTTCGGAATTAGTGATAAATTCCTCTAACACTAATCAGTACAGACTCATAGCACCATTAAGTGGATTAGTTATAGAAATATATATTTAAATATATATAATCAAAGTATGGTGTTCTTTTACAAATTTCAGTAATAAATCTTGTTAACATACTTACAACTCCGTATCTCCTGGAGGAATACATTGTACACTGTAACGCGATAAGAGGGATAGAGTCCGAGTCAGAATTGTAACAGCAGTAATTTCATCCTCTATAGGTTTTAACCCTATGCGATCTTGTATGGAATCTCCTACTGCCAAACCATCAGCTATAAGGCGGTCCGCTAAACTGATCCAATTTGCTTTCGTTCCGAAATATGGTAAACATAGTTGTACAAGTCTCATAATAGCTTCGAAGATGAGTGGTTTGTTTGTCCCAGCACTAATTGACTAAAGAAGTACAAAATAGTCATTTGATTAGGAAACCTAATACAATAAACTGAGTGTCTGACACTGTTTAGTAAATCGCTTAAAAATTGTGCATCATATAACCACCAAAATATGATAAAAAACACAGGAAACATTATTAATTAGTTTTTAATTTGCACTTAAACTTTTACCAACAGAAGTGAATCAGTAAAGTATTATATATATATATATATGGTTCTGGAGCCAATCGTTCATACAACAGTGAAAGCTTACTAAATTAAAATCCGAAAAATGTTAGAATATCTAACTGCATTGAATTTGATAACGAATGGAATTGACAGTCTCTAGAGAAGAGTGTAAGCTCGTTAAGCACAGAACTTCGGTAAATTATGAAAACGTGATTTTAAAATCAGCTCTCTACTGCTTCTGAAGATATTCATTCCAAAATCAGTCTAGATTTCTACACTCTATGATAGCAGGTGTAGATAAGATTGGTAAAAATGGAGAGATATCGAACAGGATGAGTGAGGGGAGGGACACAAATGTTTAGAGTAGTAAAATGTTCAGAATTCTCGGGTGAAAACATAACATAAATTTGCACATCTCACCTGAACTATCTCATATAATATTGGATTTGCCTCCTCATATAATCGACAGAATATTGTAAAGATAAGTTCTGTTAATTGACGACAAGGTTGTGGTGTTAGCATATGCTGAGAACTATCAGAAATACCCATTATAGTTTCAATGTTGCGTGCACACAATTCATTTGCTTGGTAATCTACATTCAAAATAGAATTTAAATCTGCATACACTGAATCAGTTTTAGCGTCATGTCCTACGCTGATACTGGAAATACCACCTGAAGATAAACAACCTTCTGGATCACTTGTGAGAAACTGTAACTCGTTTGGAGTAAGTAAAAACCAATGTTCAAAAAGTGACATCATGAAGTAGGTCCATTTGTTGCTAATTTGTCCACTGGGTAACTGGTAAGAGTGAGACATCCATAATTCTACCTGAAATGAACATTTATTTGAATAAGGAAGATGCATAACGGAGTCTATTAAAAATGATTTTTAAAAAATTCGTTGTATACCAGAGTGAACCTTAAAGTGTATGTCAGTTTTCATAAAAAACTGCTGATTGACCAATTACAGACAGACAGATACAACGCAGAACTTCGTACGTATGTACATCAGTTCAGGTTGCCATACCGCATTAGCACAGATACGCAACTGTCAGTTCAAATCCAATAGTGGTAGCAATAGTAGAAGTATTAGCAGTGATGGAGAAGATCAGGGTATAATTCAGTGAGATTAAGTTAGAAAGAGAAAGATAGGGATGATGAGGTATTCAGGTTAGAATTTGAGAGAACATAAAGAGTGGATGCACCTGCGCCATTGCAAACGATTTTGAGCCATGTCGTTCAAGGCCTCTAACCACTGATGACTTTCGCCTCACAGACCCCGGCCATGATTCGCATACATATAGTAGAACGGAGCGAACTAGAGCGCAGAAACCTCAGCCTTTGGTTAGCAAACGGATATCTCGCCTACGCCGTAAGTGACGCAACTTGGAGAAAGCCGATCGAGCCTTCTGTATCTGTGCTGAGATTTCGCCAGTCACCAGGCCATTAGCACTGATGAGACTCCCAAGATAAGTGAAGCGGTCTACGCGTTCGACTGCTTCACTCCCTACCACTAGCTCAGGTGTCTTTCTAGTTGCTCTTGAAATATATTCTCAGCTTTATTATCATTAAGTAGATCCATAAGGGGTTCCCTTGCGGTGTCTGTCCTACGTTCAGTAAGCCTCAAAAAAATACGCGCTCGCACTAGAGCATGATCTGAATCTAAACATGTGCCCCAGAACGAGCGACAGTTCTCTGTCGAACCCCTCCATCGGTGGCTGATGGTGATGTGATCTAGTTGGGTCCAACGTTGAGACGACCTTGGGGGTCGCCAGGTCAAAAGATGTTTTCTCTTATGCATAAAATTAGTGTTTGCTAGAAATAGGCGGTTATCTGAGCACATTTGCAACAAACGGTCGCCACTGTCTGTTCTCTGAGCCATGACACCATAAGATCCACCAAGGTGTCTTTCATTTTCACTCAGTCTACCTACTTGAGCAATAAAGTCATCAGCCATTATAACTATATCAGTCTAGCTTTTTGGAGGTCCGAAAGCTTTCTGTAAAACTCATCTTTAACCTCGTCTGAAATGCAGTCAGTGGGGGCATAGGCAGATACGATGAAGAGGCAACGGCGAGTGTCCCTATCTTTCCGAGTCCTTACTGTCCCGTTGAGTCGGACAATGCACAAGCGATTATCTACTGGGATCCAGTCTAGGAGAGATAGTTCTGCCCTAGGATTCAATTCTATGCGTACGCCAGCGAGACCCCGGGAAGCAGCACCAGGGCTACCGGATACATCAACTAATCTAAAGTGAGTGCTAAAAACGTATAGTATGATCCTTTATTTACTTAAGCACATAAAAATTGATACAACAGGGTACCTAAATACTTATGCACCACAAACTATTGGATTTGTGAGTTGGGATACTGCTCGAACGCTCAGACCGTAGCAGGTGGTTTTCTTGGGGGACAACACCAAACCTTTGATCCGAAAGTCTAATCCACAGGGAGGTGAAGCGACGTGAAGAGATGCAGTCCTATAGTAGCAGGTGACCGACAATAGATTCATACCCCGTTTGTTCAGTCAAGATCTTAGAGCCCATGTGCATTATGCGTTTGGAATGAAAGTTTTTGAACTCTCCTAGTTAGATCCTCTATACCCACCAACTCGGGTAAAGGGTCGGACAGTTACTATTTATCCTCTCAATTTCATAAACAAAATTCCCGCAACAGGACTTCCCTGGAAGTAGCTATATACAGATTGACCAGGTGACAGAATTTCGAGGGAAAGAGGACTTTCCCCACTTCCGGTCGTATTAGGGGATTTAGGGACCGAGAGAGCACTATTTTCGATACTTGTTCGCTAGCTAACATAAAAGTAGCCCCGAAATATTTTCTGGACCACAAAATAGAAACTAGATTAATTGAATTCATGTATATGCAATAAGGAAACTAGAAGCACATAAATCACGAAACCACATGTTGGGCATATTAAACCAGATGAATTTAGACTAAACATTAACACTGACAACTGGGCCGAGCCAAAGTGGCAGGTGTAGACTTCCTGGTTAGAGTCCGTGAGACAATGGTAACCAGTGGTTGGATTCTATGAATGACATGGCTAAAATTCGTTTGCAATGATGCAGATGCATCCATTTTTTGTCCTCTCATGAACTTATGAGCTCAGGACCTTTTCATGTATCATTTTAAATTTATCTGGATGGATTACACTTCTTGAATAATTTTTTCGAACCCTAATTTTTTTCCACTGCCGTTAATACTTCTACTACCGATACTACTATGGGATTTGAATCGACAATTTGATCTCTGTGCTAATGTGGTATGGCAACTTGAACTGATGCACGTACGCACGAAGTTTTATATTGTAGCTGATCGAGTAACTGACTGAGTATCCCTCAAATACCATAGCCAATTCGTTCACAGCATTCTCCTAAATTTTATAGATAAAGTCAGATATCACTAAAGGTTTGATATTTCTAAACGAACGTTAGCTTAAGAAATTTTGAGTGATCTTAAAATTGCTTGAATGTCATACTATGAAGTATAACTTACATAAACATTCTACATAAACCTCATACCATCTAAGTTAAATCCTGACGTGCATCCGCAGCATAATTTAGACGCAAAATCTGGTTGATTTCTGAGACGGGCAACGTTGTTAATCATTTTAAAGAGTACTTCAATTCCTGTGTGATGGAAAAATAATTTAATAACAGTTTCTATAACTTACCTCACGCTTCCCTTGTTCAGTGAGATTTACTTGACCAGCGTATTTTGATGACCTGGAACAGAGGACGCTGTATGTAATTCCCAAGAGCCATTTTACTGCATTCGCATCCTTGTCACTTGATTGTATATAACCAGAACACGCAACAATAGCCAAAACGTGCTCCAATATAGGTACAGCAAAGTAATCTCTGGTTTCCGAAGGACAGGACAAAAACAAGACAAACAACAACTTCGATACACGTCGACGAAATACAGACATCAGAGGAGATTTGTCAGTGTTCAACATGCTTTGAAACGCTAACTCCAGAGCCAAGAGAGTTGACATGAAAGTAGACTCAAATATTTCTTTACTATTATCTAGGGTCATCACATTGTTTTTACACATTAAGTTTAAGCATGAACAAAGTAACTTCGAAAGCTTTATACAAGGATTAATATTCACTTCTACATCTACAATCGCATCTTTAAAGCAACTTATAACACTTGGTAACAGCTTCTTGATCACATTATTAAAAGCATGGCGCCGGGCAGGTAACCTGAAACTTGCTGCTGCCTTCAGTCCAGATCGTAATGAAGACCAGGCGTGCCAGTCCAAAAGATTTTGCCACAAGGAGTCAGACCAACCACTCTTAAGCCACTCGTTCTTTACGTACCTTGCGGTCAGCTCAGCAATAATAGAACTAACTTGAGGAGTATTTTCAACGAGATTGGTAAAGTTATTTTCTGTACCACGGGATATATAATCAAAGAGTAGCATTTCCACTTTCTTTTTGACTGTAAGATCAATATTATCCCAAATTTTGCTGTCAAACATCATATTCTTGAGGTAGATAAGACCCAAAAAACGTCCACCTGCAGATAAACGATCATCGCTAGAGAAAACACATGATGCTACAGCAGAACACATATTTCCACAATTCTCTCCTGATTGAGTGACCATAGTAAGTTGCTGACTTGCAGGTAACATTACACTGAGATCATCACATGCTGCGGAATTAAGTAGGTTAATGATATCGAGACTCATTAACAAAAGTTTGGTACACACACGACAAACGGTGACGCAACTGTCAGATATCCGCTAGTTTTCAATATCCACTGTACAATATCTAATTCAGCATCTTTTTCACGATCTACTGAAAAGGAATTGATTTCTTTACGCTACATTCTTGTCCTTTCGGTACATTTCCAGGTTTTTCGTACTGTCTAATGGATGTGGGTCCAGCCATTCGACCGCATCTATTCTAATCAACTGGCAACTTGTGAGTTTGTATGTCCCATAGTTTGAATGAATACGTTTGTTTCAAAGCATTAGGGTGTCTGGATAGCAGCAGCTATCTCATTACCAGGCCGAAGATTATTCAGCTACAATTTTGAGAATAACAGGAAGAAAATTCTAATGCTAATAAGAAATTTTCAGGACTAAGTAAACAAATGGATAATTTAGTTAATTAATAAGTAGTGAGGATTGTGCGAGAAGACCGGAGTGAAAGGGAGAGAGGTCACAGATACTAAGCGCGATTGGTCAAGTTAGCGATCAAAGGAAATGAAAATATTAACAAGAAGCAGACCTAGAGAAATGCATCAGTCACAGCTTGTCCACGAGGAAGATGATAATCCGCATGTGAGAACGTGTTTATCAGGTCTCTTCTTGAAGCTATCGTTTGGGAGGGCTATGGTCACCCCGGCTGGGAGAGCATTACGAGTTACAACAACTCTTAATGAGAAAAATAGTTCGCGAATCTGAGCGCAAGTTTTCGAGGATTGCCTCGAGTGGTGATGGTGCAAAGGTAAGATGCTAACGTTGGGATGGTTTGGCATGCTCAACATGTTGCATGCCATATTCAAATCACCTCTAATTGTCTGTAACTTACAGGGAGTAATCCCAAATGCTGAAGCCTATCTTCGTAAGGTTTGTTCTTCAACCCTATGACCCATTTCGTTGCTCATCTCTGCAATCGATCCAAGAGATTTATACCTCTTTTAAGGAGAAGGGATGCAACTGCGCTGTGGACCTATAGGTGTAGACGTGCATATTTCTTAAAAAACGTTAAGTGTAATTGTGTGGTGACAGCTCCAAGTTGCCTTCGCATAAAGTTAAGAGTTGCACTTGCCTTGACTGCGTCCCCTATATAGTTCGGGCTTGTGTGGAGGCTTTCTGTGGTGATCGAACCGAGATCGTGCTCTGAGGAGACATAAGGGATCAGACTTCCTTTTGGGGTGTGAATCGTTTGCGTCATGTGTGGCAGAATGTATAAAACGTGAAACTTCGACTGGCTAAGTTTTAAACATTTTTCACTGCCCATTATTCAATGGATGTAAGGTCTCTTCGAAACTTAGTCGAATCCTCTTCGCTTATAATAGACCTCCAGATCTTTGCATTGTCTGCGCATACTCAAAACTACATGGAATTCACCGGGTCACACTACACAGAACCAAATCGATCATATATGTATCGATAAAAATTCAGAAGGGCCATAGAAGGTGTGAGAACCAAGAGAGGAGCTGATACAGTCTCAGATCACCAATTGCTGGTCGCCAAAATGAAAATGAAACTTAAACAACCTAGGAAAAGGGGGCGGACAACACAAAAGTTTGGTACATCATTTCTTCGGGATACCGTAAAATTCAACGAATTCAAGATATCCCTCAGCAATAGGTTTCAGGCCTTTCAGAATCTACTCAATAGATAGGAAACAACCATGGAGAACAAGTGGAAAGGGATCAAAGAGAGAATCACTTCAACAAGTCAGGAGATTCTGGGACACAGGAAGTATCATCATAAGAAATGAATCTCTGTTGTTACCATTCTAGTGGAAAGCTTCTACGAGGAAAATACGATTTGTCAAAAATAAACGTTGTTATACTCATTTTATTTAGCTGTACCAAGAACACTTCTTCTACTTCGTGCGCGCAACGTTCTTTTCGCGTTGCTGCCATTTTTCTCTGTTTGCTGTTCCCGAGAAAGTTAAAGCACATTCTGGACACCTAGAAGTAAACGGGCAATTGAAGAAGAACATCAGACCCGACGAACGAAAATATGTGGAAGACCTAGCAATGACCGCGATAAAGGATGCAAGATGATGACACTTGAGACCATTGTACGGCACAACGAAGAAGCTCTCTAGAATCTATCGTAAACAAGAACGGCCAGTGAAAAGCAATGAAGGCAAAGTAATTGACAAAAGAAACAAAAGGGTAGAGCACTTTAGGGACTCTTGAATAGACCAGGTCCACTGAACCCACCCAACATCAAAGCAACATCTACAGACCCCCTAATCGATGTTGACCCACAGACAATTGAAGAGATCAGTATGGCCATCGGACAAATCAAGAGCGGCAAAACAGCAGAACCAGACAACATTCCAGCAGAGTCAATGAAAGCAGAAGTGGCGGCAAATGCAAAAATATTCCACATTCTCTTCAACAAGATTTGTGATGAAGAGCAGGTACCAACAGACTGTAAAAAGGATACCTCATCAAAATACCAAAGAAAGGCTACCTCAGCAATCGTGAGAACGACGGAGGCATCACTCTTCTCTTAATACCAGGCAAAGTCTTCAATAGGGTATTGTTAAAAAGAATGAAGGACTTCGTAGATGCCAAACAACAAACTTTAATTACTCAGACCTTTTCTTACATTAGAACACTAACTGTACACCTTCATTTATGTAGATTAATGGAGACTAGTAGCCAGTAAGATATCTAATGGGTAAATAGTCTTATGAATAGAGGAGATCCAAAAGAACTAAACTGTTGGAAATCACGTTGATTTGCAGAGTATATTAATGAAGGCACAGTGATTTGGTGGTCTGGTATTATGTCATTATTGTTTTTTACACACTGTTTCTGATGTGAGCTCCGGAACTAGTTGATAAATTTCATTAGAACATAAAAACCGAGTTACCAGTTTCTTCAAGCGAGTGATTGTGTCACAGATACGGATAGAAATTAGTAATCTGTTCCACAATAAACTGTATCGCGTTACAAAGAAATTACAACGCGATGGCTTTTTGTGTCTTGTCGTTAGTAGTTTGAATGCCTTGTTTCTGCGTCTGTAAGGAGCAGTATCCAAGGGATGGCCATACACACATTTTGAATAGTGTAAGCTTAGCCTTATTAGAGAATAAGTTCCTATTTTCGAACCCCATAAACCACTTAAATTTAGGGATAATTTTAGATTCATTTTCTTCAAACTTTAGGCTTACGAAGTAATGAATAACCAGATCCTGAACTAATGTGAGTGTCTGAACCCTGTATTTTTGTAAGTAGAATGGTGTTTCATAGTGATTCTTGATAAATGCACAACGCTACATTTGTTATGGTTTAACAGTATCTATGATGTTTGCTGTAGGTAGATAAGTTGTCAATGTCACTCTGAATCCTGGTTATATTTTCGTCCACATTTTCAGGCTTATGGCTGCATACTATTTTGAAGTCATCCTTATTTAGGTATAATATTCCAAATTTTATAGTTTTACATATATCGGACATATACATAAGGCTCAAGGTTGAGTCCAGTACACTTCCCTGGATACCTCCATTGGTTGTTGGTCTTGGTGGTGAAAGGCAGTCGTAGTATTTTACCTTTGTTTACCTCTTTGTTACCTCTGTTACCTCTGATTCCGAATAACGCTATTCTGGGGGGACGCCTTTGGTGTGGGACCTTATCAAAAGCCTTCTTTAGGTCAAAGAATAGGACTGATACTAGAAGCCCTTTGTCCGGTTTTTTCAGTAATATCATTGAGATAATCTATCAGGCATGTGTCGCACGGCCTGGACCTAAAGAGCCTATGCAAAGAGGTCGGAATTTGATTGCTAATGAGTAGATGTTGCATTACCACCGCCTTTACTACTTTTCTGTCACCCAAAATACTACTGAGGTAATGTTTACGGGTCAGCAGTTTTCAACATTAGTTGTAGGCCATGATTAAGTTATGGGTATGATATATGCGGTCTTCCAATTATTAGAGTAACTTTCCGTAGAGACTGATACGGTAAAAAGTTTAAGAAATGTAAGGCACACATCATTGTGTCTATTTCTGAGCATATTAGCATGGATATCGTTTAGTGCTTCAGTGTAAAAGTGTTTTAGTCTACTAACCGCCTTAGAAAAATTTTGTACACTGAAGTCTACACTGTCGACCTGACAGGAAGGTGTTGGAATGAACCGTGATTAATTTATAAGGTTTTTGTTTGTTACTAAGACTAACCTTCCAATTCATTCCAAATCGACTGTCATTCTATTTATGTCTGTCTCCAATTCTCAGCGCAGTGTGTGTTGCCTTGAGAGTTCCAATTGAGGGCTAGCCTCGATATGCAGTTGGACGACTTCCTCAACGTGTACTGTTTCCACCTATACTGTTCTTTCCTGATATCCTCCCCTGCTGCAATCTACCCTGTCCTCCTTCACAACTGAATGTTGTTGTGAATGCCCGACGGACGGATCTTTGTTATCTTGCCGACACAGCTGTTAATTAACACCTGTATCTACTGGCTGATGGCTTTCGCGGTCTTCCGAGTTATCACTCCATACAGTAGAACTGTCTTGATGTGTGCGCTGAAAATTGTGACTCTAGTGCTAGTTGACAGTTGTTGTGAGTGCTGTTGTTCACTTTTAGAAATGCTACCCTTGTTCTGCTTATGCCCGCCTGCACATCCACTTTATTTATCAGTGACGCTGTCCAGATATGAAAAGGTTTCCCCTCCTTAAACTTGCCACGAAATCGCTAATTAGTAAAAACTTAAATCGGTTATTTACCTTCGCAATAATAAGTTGTAGATACTACAGATACCTCTGGTTGAAGTAAGCCATAGTTTTTCTCACGCCTTTGTCATAGAACCAAGCGACTGTCTAGGATTTTACTGAGAATCCAGTAACAATCAACTTTTAATGACATTGCTGAAATCATTTTATGAACGTTTACCTATCGCTCTTTTTATCCTATGTAGCGTTCTGCATAACGCATACTTCCAGACCAGTTATTGTTGATGTTCAGCCGGCTAATTTTTTGCATGCTTGAAGGTCACCACTCGTATTCTGTTTATTTTGTATAGATTCGGAAATACTTAATTGTATTACGAGGGGATGTTAGAGTTAACCTACTAAAATAATTCAAGGTTACAGAAACTTTATGGTTCAAACTCATTGCTAGTGTTTTGTACACTCCTATCTGAGATGTGTGAACCCGGCAACCGTGAGATTAGCTGGAATCGATGAACCAAATGTATATACTTTGGGCTTGATAGTGACAGGAGAGGGAGAAAAGTAAGATAGATAAATAGGGAAAAGGAATGAGGCTTCTGATTGCTGAACATTGGTTTTGATACATAGGATGATCCTTCGAGCAGTAAAAGGTTTTTAGACCCTTGCTTAGATACTTTCGGTTTCTGAACTTCACAACCATTAGCTGTGGAAGCATATTAAGGGGTATAACAGGCAAGATAAAAGCATTTGTGAGGGTAGTTTGAAGGCCTGTGCTATTTTAATCCTCATAGTACCTGTAGAATCTATTTTGACGGTTTTGTTTTTGGAAAATCCATCCATGTATATATATTTGCGTTATTATATGACTGACTCTTTCTGTTGATATTTTGGTACTCTATTTGATTCCATTTGAGATTTCATCATTATATATTGTTATTATTTCTATATCTTGTACTTATATTGAAGTTTTTATGTTTCCTTCTGAACTGTACATATGTTGTTTAAATTTGAAATTGAATATGGCTACAGCCATATTTGGATTTGATATTCTAGCAGTAACGGGCTGGAAGCACTTATTCTTCCAGAAACGGAACCTATAGTGGTAATTGGAAACTCGAAGGTGTAATATTGTTTTTGGTAATTGTCTGTATTTCCCTTTTTTAATATAAATCGAACCGTTTTCTCGCAGAATATCGTTTTTGTTCCTGGACTGGATGAGATGCGTATGAACCTGCACTTTTCGAGTTCGAATGAACTGCAAATGTAATTATAACTTTGTAGTACCGAGGTCTCAGCCGGTGTTAGGGCGCCTATCTATGCCACTAAAATAATAGATTGTTCGCCTGTAAAATTATGTTACATGAGATTTACCAGGTCGAAGGCCCAGAGGGATAATGTCTTTCAGATGAGATTACAATTAGTATTGGGCACTGAAGTGTTAAGTGTGAAGGTTAGAGCGCTTAACAGTGGCTGGGCTGTGACTATCGACTGGTGGTCAAGAATTATTTCACATAAAGCCCTGAACTGCATAAAAGTAGAAGTGGTCACATAATGCACAATCATTTTTGACGGCATTCTCTGGTTAATGATTTTAACAGACTTGTGTTATTTACAACAATAAGTCCGGCTGAAATAGTAGATTTATCATATAAGGCGTAGAACAGCATGATATTACAGCGAATCGAATAATATACTACTTCGCGGGATAAGAAATGTTAATCCCGTTACTCTAAGAACCAGATAAAATTCGATTCTAGGGGAAGAGGTATATTTGATGCTAGCCTCGTGATATCGAAATAATATCGAGGCCAGAGGGCGTAAAAACGTCTAACGTCCACGCAGGAGACGCGCGAAGGATCGAATGGGAATAACACGCTTGTTGCGTGAGAGATATCTTTCATTACAGATAAACAAGAGGTGTACAATAATAAATGTTTATATTTCAGTAGTTGTATTCTCTTCGTAAAAGTATACCCCTACATTAGCCCACCTAGAAAGGGTTGACGCTTTCGGTACGTAGAGGTTTCTTGCGTAGGGGGGGGGCTGGTCGAAAAACAGGCGATTACAGGGCGGAAGGGTTGACGAATAGGAAGCGATCAGTGGAGCTCGAATTGTCAGCGAGATTCTTTTACGCTGAATTGTACCAATAATAACGTGCCAAGTTTTGTGCTCTGGTTGGGATATCACACTAGCGTGGCTCGTATCCAGAGTCTGAAGATTGTGTCCGTAGTGCTTCGTACCAGAAAAGGCTGCAGACGTAGGACGGAACCAGGTTGAACGAAGTAGCCAGAAACAACAAGAACGACCAAGTTCGAAACCACACATATGCCAGATACATTCAGAACCAAAACATCGAGTGAGTGCATTAACAAGAGCGCGGGGGATCTGGCCAGCTTTGGCCAAGATTGACTGAAGTCAACGGTATCAAAAGGTGATGGTCGTAGATATGGGCTCAGGATACAAAATAAAAGAAAAAGAGAAAAATGTAGCATACATGTAGTATGGGGATAAAGCCCAATACCGTATCCGTTTTTGCCAGCGTGGTTATTCGAGAGACGGTAGTCTCGCGCGTACCTCGTGAGCCATCAATCGCATCCGAAGTGAAGATCGTCGTAGTCTGCTGATATGGACATGAGAGTGAGGTCTCTGATTTTTCTAGCGTGGGATCCGAAATAGCTTTAGGGATCCCGCTAGTAGGTTTGGTAGGTCAAGCATTGGGTCTTGGGTTAGCAAGTAGGGCACTGTCATCAGCGTGTGCTGGCTTGAGACAATCAGTGCTGACGATTTCGACGCAGCCATGTCGAGCAACCCTGAAGGTCTTTTCGTAACGAGAAATCACATGAAAAGGTTCATCGTAAGGTTGTTGCAAAAGTTTGCATACCGAATCGACTCGTATGAAAACACGCGAACAGCTGGATAACTCTCAAGGGAGTTTCCGGTGGTGTATCTTTATGGTGTTGAAAAGAGATTACAACCGAAATCCAAATTTTGTTAAAACCGTACGAATTTCAGATCCAAACGGATACATTATGCAATATTGCATCAGACCTGTTAGAATACTGTTCTGTAAAACGAATTCCAGTATGAAAATTTACAAAGCTTCCACAAGTTAAAAAGTTGTATATACAGACTAAAGGGTAACAGCAAAACCGGAAACTCAAGATTAGTAGAGAAATAAATCATTGACAAGGACTGAATATTACAAATCCGTAAAAATTCAACTGGAAGGAGTTGTATTCACAATAATACTATATGATCAATTTTAATGCTTCCGGCTTCTCGAGTAATATTCTTCACCAAGAAGTTTTGATCACTGTAGACTGTTTAGTTCCCAACACCAACAATAATTTCTGAATAAAAAACACACAGATTTAATGACGTCTAGACTGATCAGGTTTGTCCTAGTCATACTGTCTGTTAATGTATTGGATATTGTACTGAAGGTCAAATTCGCCTAGTTTTCTATTTTTGGCAGCTCCAACGTATCAAGTATTGTCAATCTGTATATTCGTAAGTCGATAGCATTGCTGAATGTATCGTTTTTTTATATTTCTTAAAGTCTTTATGAGGTTAATAATTCGAGAGGGTATGGGATGTTTTGCAATTTTCCTAGGTCGCTGCAACCCTATGCAGAGGGTAGAACAGTCGTATGCATGAAAATGTTCTATATTATCGAGAAAATGTCTCGGATATTCAGAGTTTTAGGATACAAATTGCTTCATGTACTAAGAGGATACCTTCAAGGGTAGAATCAACTATGTTTCTTTCGTCTTGTTCAACAGTGATCAGATTCAATTTAGGTTAAGCCATAACTTAGTAGACTACAGTTTGTTATAGAAAAATTCAATAAATAATTGGATGCCTCGTTACTTGCTAATACCCAGAAGTCACAATTTTTACATCCAGATGGTGATTCTTATGTCTCTTTGGTCATGTAAACATATCTGGTCGGTTGTCACTATTCTCCTGGTTTTTAGCACTAAAATCTAGCATCTCTAGTGTTAGAGAAAGAAGTCTGTCGACTAGTCCTTTGATGCGAGAATTCACTCCGAATTTTAATTATTAACTGCTTACAACTACCTGCAGTAGGTCACGAAAATGTAAGCTGGGAAAGACAACTTAAGTGTCTCACCAGATACATAAAGATATCCTATCGATTACAAAAAGCAGTAAGTCATCGTTAACACTCACTGTAACCTATGTCTCATAAAGTATCAAGATTAAGATGATCTCATTTGGAAGAAATTTAGTTAGATTAAACGGGACATTTATTGCATACTTTACTGTTACGTAAACCTATTATCCGCGTACGGAGAATCAGTTGAGTGGGTAAAGTTAAAAGCAATGACTGTTATCGTGTTTTTCATTTCTATACGAGGGATATTCAAATATTGCTTTTACATGGGAAATTTAATACAAATGATCTTGACTGAAACTATATTGATAATTTCTTCAATATTTGCTAACTAGAATTGTCAGCTATGACCAATATAGGAATGTGGGCTGCGGTCGTTCTTGGTTGCGCTGTCTTAACTTGGTTTGATCTTGGGGGACTGAACAGTAGTAGCGATTCAGAGAAAATCATACCAACATTGAAAAAAGCAGCAAACCCACTACCTACACTTCAGTTCATGTTTTGGTAAGTCTGCTATTACTCATCTTACTCCCCTTAGCGTTTCCTGAGGATATCGGCGGGTGTTTGAGGAGATGTCACGGATCGTCTTACAAAGGTACCCATCTTTTATTATTGAAGGCGATACGTATCCTCCACCCGCCTGGCGAGCCTACTTAGCAAAATCCTTACAACTTCTGAAATATTCCGTTATTCTTATGACAGTGTTTAGTTTCGACCCCTTTGGATATCTTGGATACCCCACTCCCAACTTAGTGTCATACGCCACACAAAATAAAGTTAGTTGGATGTATTTTTGGTCTGTCTTTTCCGATGTTGCATATTTAGCTGATTCAACTATCTTGCAGTCTTAAAATTTCATGAAAGTAAAAACTATTGGTTGTTTGTCGTTAGCAAATAAATGACACCGTAAACGAATCACTGAAATTTTGTTGCACTTATTTTTTAAGATCCATTGGTATTTTTCTGACTATACAGATGACTACGTTCGGTATGCAGCTACTATTATAGATTTCAAAATGAATTCCACACTTTAAGATGTGTATGTTGTTTTTCCAACACACTTTAGGCGTAATTTCGAAAATAAAGCTCCTATGTGTGAAATGCATTCAACTTGTGACACTATTGATATACACTTCCTAATAATTAATAGTATATTAAGCTCTGATCTACTTGGAAATTCCGTTTCCTTAGCTTGTCTTGTACTTACTATTACCGCCAATCGAGTCAATTCATTCAGATATTTATTTCAATAAAGTAAAATTAATAGATAGGACTATTATACCGTCCAACTGTCTATATTCAATATATCTGTTCCTAATCATATTTTGGTTTGCTATATTGTTGATCTGATTTTGCATCGTCTAGTGTACCAGCAAATAGTTTGTGCTTATTTAGTTGCGTAAACTTTAATACCAAGTAAGAACATTTACTATGATTGACTTATTAAAATACATTTATTATGGTTGAATGATATTAACTTACAACATAAGTTTATTCATCTTCAGGTTTCTTTCTGTTTGATGACGTTTCTACTTGGAAATGTTATTGAAGGACAGTTAGTATCTACGGGTGCTTTCGAAATATACTTGGATGGTGAGTATCAGATTGCTTCTGCAAGTTATTTGCACATTTCTGACACTGTACTGATTTTGTTGTATGATAAATATCTGTTCAGAAAACGGCTTAATATTTCAATATTTATTATTTAATATAGAATTAAATCCTAAGAAAATTAGTCAGTTGTAAGTAAAGTGTATTTCATTAGATTCAGTAGTAATGAAATAATCCAAATGCAGACGAGATCTTCAAAAAGAGAGGCTTCTGAAAATTTACAGAAAAACCATTCGTACAGAACCTTATTCAACGATGTTCGTTCTCGTTTAAAAATCATTTGTAATCTCTTACATAAGACTAGTTCTTAGTGTTTCATTTTCGAATCTGTAGATATATCAATATTTGATCTAATAATTACAAGTTCTTACAGTTAGATACAACTTATTACATAATGGATGAATCAACGGTTAATGGTTCAACTTTTAAGCTTAGTAAACTATCTTACTAGTTCCTACTCCTCTTCTTTGTTTTCCAACACAACTTGTTTATTAAAAATTTGCTTTGTGACACAGTTCGTCCTTTAATATTGTGTAATTTCAATGATCATTGTATTAATGTTTATTTCCACATGTTTAAATCTGTTGTCCATTTCTAAAGGATATTTTTACTTTATCTTTCTGTATTATTGTTGCTAGTCTTCCTGATCTAATACGATCATCCTTATTTCCCTTGAGTAGTTCCGTAATCTAAATCGTTGTTGTTAACCTACAATAGTCGACTCTGTCGATCGTGAGTTTCTGTGGCAGTCTGTCATTAAAAGGTGTACCGAAGAAGTACATTAACCTTATACAGGCTCTCTACTCGAACACTACTGGTCGAGTGAGAGCTTATGGCGAATTGTCGTCGGAATTCTTTACTTCAGGTGGTGTCCGTCAGGGCTGTTCACTCTCTCCATTCCTGTTTAACTTTAGCGTAGACATACTTTTAGAGTTAACATTATCCTCGTCAGACTTTTCAGGGGTGCACCTTCTACCAGGAGATTCGCTCATTGACCTAGAATATGCCAATGACAGTTCTGTTTGGTGAAGGCGCTGACAAAATACAGTCTTCTGACTACCCTGAGCAACAATGCAAGCATGTTTGGGTTGCGGTTCTCCCCCTCGAAATGATGCTTCAAGATTGGATTGCGTCGGCACTTGAACCGGTAATGGGAAGTGAACTAGTTGAGTCTCACCAGCGCTGATGGCCTGGTGACTGACGAAATCTCAGCACGGATACACAAGGCTCAATTGGCTTTTGCCAATTTACGTCGTTCATGGCGTATCCGGTTGCTAACCAAAGATCGAGGCTTCTGCGCCCTAGTTTGCTCCGTTCTACTACGTATGCGAATCGCAGACGGTAAGAGTAGATTTCTGGTATTCGATGTCCTAGAAGCATTGCTCATATATCCTGGGACAGCCGAGTAAGCAATGCTATCGTTAGGAAATGAGTACTAGGTAGGGACAGCAAATCAATAGATGAAGTATTGAAACTTCATCAGTTGAGGTGGTTAGAACATGTGTTACATATGTCCAACCGCTGACTGCCTCGTCGTGCTGTTTTGCGGCTTAGGAGTAGGTTGGAATAAAACTAGGGGCGGCTAAACCAAAACATGGCACAAATCCATGAAGTCACTGACAAGTGGACTGAGTCATGTTGGTAGATGCCAACTATCTGGTCGGGGTTCTGTTACGTTACGGGTTGGTTGGGGTCCGCGAGACGATAGTAATCGGTGGTCAGACACCTTGAACGACATGGCTCAAGATCGTTTACAATGGCGCAGGTGCATCCAATCGTTGTGTTCTATGAAATTCTAATCTTCTTGATTCCTTACCACCTCTACCTTTTTCTTTCTAAACTTTTCTCACTGAGTTATGGTTCTTGAATCCTCTCCATCACCAGTAGTACTTCTACTATCTCTATCACTATGAGATTTGAACTGACAATTGCGTCTCTGTGCTAATGTGGTATGGAAACATGAACTGATGTACGTACGTACGAAGTTCTACGTTGTAAGTGATATTCACTTTTATATTCCTAGTACTTTATACTAATGACGTATCTTACATATATTCACTATGACATCAGTGAATAAAAGTTACTAAAATATAATTTTGTGGTGCGACCTCATTTTATAAATCGACCACTAACTTTACTGCCAACTTCCAGTGGTTGTTTTCATATATGTGCGTATTCACCTAATATTGCGTATAAGTTGTTAACTTTTCTCGTAGTATGTCGAAAATTGTATAGAGCATTTAACTTAACAATAGACTTCGTGTTTCATTAGTTGTTCACGGACTACTATTTCGCAATGCGAAAGGGCTATACTGTTATTCAAATAATCCCGATGCATTATATCAATAATAAAGGTTAAACTCAAATTAGTTTTATTTGTACTCCACGGCTAAGCTATTCGAAACATGTTCTAGTTCAAATATATCGACTGTTCATACTTTTTAAAAATTGACTGTCACAAGTCAAACCTACTACTTTGTATATTGATGAGAATTCTTATTAGTATCACGTGGTTATCATTTACTTGTGAAAATAAATTCTTTATAATCATTCCCACCTGAAGTTTTTGATATTTCGAAAAAGGAAATCAAGGATAAACGAGTAGTCAGGAAAAATTCGCCTCCTGTTCTGAAAATGTGTTTCAGTAACTCAGAAATCTCACATTTTTCATACGACACAATTAGTTCTTCAATTTGCTACTTCTGATGCTAATTTTCGGGGGTTTTTATGACAATGATTTATTTTCTACATACATTTAAAATTATTAGAAGTATCCTAAAATCAAATTCTTTTCGTCCCATTAAAATTTTCGATTGTTTTTAGATATTCCGATCTGGTCGAAACTGTACACAAATCGTATCCCCCAACCAGAAGAGCTTCTTCACATAATAGACAATCACGTAAAACTCCGAGAATCGACAAGGACAATTCAGTCTGTCGGTCCACCCATGTAGTATTTAATGCGCACTATCGGCTTTTGGTTTTAATGATAAGAGCACAGTCGTATCGTATTTGAACTTTACTAGCCTTATGATAGTTTCCATATCAATCTCTGTTTAGAGAATGTGGTTAACTTGATGCTAGCTTGTCCTAGTTCAAATATATCGACCTAGTGTTCATACCTTTACTGTATGTGATGTATTTTTTTAAAAATTGACTGTCACAAATCAAACCTACTTCTTTGTATATTAATGAAAATCTTTATTAGTACAACGTGATTATCATTTACTTATGAAAATAAATACTTTGTAATTCCCACCTGAATTTTTGTATAATTTAATATTTCGAAACAAAACATCTGCTTATAGAGCTGGAAACTGTCCCAATTGAGCCTACTAACAGTTAAGTGGTTTTCTTTCACATGTCAAACAGTAGATTTATTATCGGACATGACTATGGAACTTCTTTCACAAGTAGTGTGGAAAGGATGATAGTCAACTAGAGACAAATTTGATCCAAAGGGTGGATCCTTAACTGCCTAGCGAAATGCAATGACTCTGAACCAGTCTCATGTATTCACACCCGAAATTCCAACTGTAACGATCACATAAGTTGTGTTACGAATGCACGTAAACACGTCATTTGATATGCCTGAACTATTACGAGTTTACTTTAGTCGGAAGACGAGGGCGAGGATCCGGCGACACGACAAACTACTCTAATCCGATTGTCCCAAACCCCCTTTGAGTAAAAGAAGAAGACTTGATATGAAGTAGAACCTGTATTCTACAAACATCCAGAAGAGAATATGGATCCCGGACTAGAGATCCGGGTCCAGGTCCGAGTCATAAAACGTTACAGATAATGTGTATTTATACAGTTGGGTCGAACAACATTTGAAGTGACATTGATAGATAGGACAACCAGTAGGAATTGGCCAATAGAATAAGACTTACAAGCAATTATCTTAGAATATTAGATGAATATCCTAACAAGTTTATGGCAACTTATTCCGAGGAAAAGCTGGAATGTTGACAGTAAAAACAATTATCACATAATAAATCCACTTTATAGGAATAATTCCAACTCACTACTAACTAAACAGCTTGGATTATGATTGACATCGAAAACTTTACATGTTAACTAGTAAATTCGAATTTCGTGATTAAGTTTGAACTTATTTACTGGTTATTTCGAACAAATGACGCCTAACAGTTCTATTATGTCAGCCTAATTATAAATGTTTGTATGAATACCGAAATGTTCTGATAATGATAGTGCAGTCTTCCAAGCCAGTTTCGGAAAAGCACCAGTGCCGCACTAAAATTATATAAAACCGAGAAAGTATCAGATAAAACTATGTTGACTAACTTCAACGATGAACATTGAGGATATGATCAGCTGTCGTATGATCATCCAGATAACATTAACATGATTAAAAGACGTTTGTACATCATAAAGTTTAATCATCTAAAAAATAAAATCTAGTACATTTTAAAATCTTTAGAAATCTAGCCCAGGTAGAGGGTATTTGGAAGCAAATTCCTCAATTTCAAGCCTCAGCTTTTCGATCATTGAACGTATTTCAACATTCGTTTCAACAACAGCCTAGTTAGGGAAAAGAGAGAATGATTATCGTATGTACAAATATTTGAGTAACATAATATTAAGAAATTGGCAATCAAAGTGAATTATCGGAGTTGTTGATGATACCAGTATAACCATGAGAAAAAATCTACAAAAATACAGCCAGAAAAGTCGAAATTTAGGAACTTCAAGAACAAAGCTATGTAGATGAATGGATAGGAATCCAACAGCATACATGACCTCACTCAGTGGCGTATTTTTAACCCCTTTCAATAAACTCTTATATCATCATTGTGAAAATTAGAACAACACATATAAGCGAACAATATTGTTTTCGATTAGATCGTCATCAGGCTTTACTCTAATATACATGAATATTTATGTGAAAATGTTAAACCAATCAAGGCAATTTGAGTGATAATCACAATGAAATGAAAAAGGCAAAAGTACAAGTGGACAGTAGGAAGATAGGTGAACCGATAGTAGTAAGAAAATTTATAAAATATGATAACTAAAGTAGGTCAAGGGTGGATGAATAGAATTCAAATAATCATCAAAAAACATCAAAAACATTACGTAATAAGCAGATGTGTAAAAATAATAATAAAAATAATAAAATTAAAATATATGTAATGTCAATCGTTAGTTACGTCATATCCCGCCACGGAAGAGATAGGGGTGTCACGAATTTCTTCTGAAAACATAAATTAGGGTTGAATGTGCGTATTCCTATGGCTTCTGCAATGTGTAGGAGACGGGATCGAACTCCATTGGGAAATGATTGAGGTATACCATAGATCACCCGAAAAGATCTAGATTTATCTACAATGTGACCACTATCTACCAGGTGTGCTAAGATAGAACTGCGTATTGTTTTTGACTGACCCTTTGTAAACCATGCTGGAAGATGTTCACTCCTTCGTTGTGTAAGTTGCCTGGAAGTACGCCCGATATAGCTATCTCCACAGGAGCAGCTGAATTTGTAAATGCACATAGAGGAGGCCAACTCAGGTAACTTATCCTTCGTTTGGGTAGACATCGCTGGTCGACTGGAGAAAGTCAATGCAAGTTTGGCAGCGTTGAATGTTCTACTAATTACTCTTACTAATCTGTCCTGCAGAGTATCGCAGGTCACATCCCCGTTGAATGTAACTTTATAAATAAAGGTTTCTTTTGCGCGGTCGAAACCACCGACTTCTTTTTTACGGCAGACATATACTTCTTTATGAATGCGCTGGGATGACCAATCTCGGTTAGTGAGTCGTTGATGAATTCCAACTCCTGACTTAAGGTATCCACTGAACAAATCATATTTGCTCTGTTAGTGAGGCATCTAACCAATTTTCTTTTGTAGCGGATAGGTGTAAAACTGCAAAAGTGAAAACGCAAATCTCCAAAACTGTGCCCCAATATAATGTAACAGTGCTCACTAGTGACTAGCTTCGTGAGGAAATTCTCGGAGTTCTAGTTGAGAAGACGTGACCAGTGGAGTTCAACCCTGTCGGGTGTAGGCAGTAACTACCAAAGACAAATGGGTGAGGTCGCGCAAAATCCCTAGATCAATCAGAGTTAGACATTAACACCGTTGGATGCCGGCCCAGTGGTCCGATGGTAAGGCGTTCGCCTACAATGCCAAAGGTCCCGGGTTCGAATCCTGCGAGGAGCAGGAGTCGTGGATGCGCACTGCTGAGGAGTCCCATACTAGGACGAAACGGCCGTCCAGTGCTTCCAGGTTTCTAATGGTGGTCTAACAATGATGATTGATTAATGATTTCAAATGTGTAAAAAGTGAGTGTATTGGCAAGCACTGGGATTTTTTCTATATATTTTAATTTTATTATTTTTATTATTATTTTTACACATCTGCTTATTACGTAATGTTTTTGATGTTTTTTGATGATTATTTGAATTCTATTCATCCACCCTTGACCTACTTTAGTTATCATATTTTATAAATTTTCTTACTACTATCGGTTCACCTATCTTCCTACTATCCACTTGTACTTTTGCCTTTTTCATTTCATTGTGATTATCACTCAAATTGCCTTGATTGGTTTAACATTTTCACATAAATATTCATGTATATTAGAGTAAAGCCTGATGACGATCTAATCGAAAACAATATTGTTCGCTTATATGTGTTGTTCTTATATCACCGCAAATATAAGATGGCGAGAGCAAATATCTAGTGCTTCAAATAGATCTACGAATATCAAACTGTATCAAAGTTTTCTCATGCTTATGTGGTTTTACTCATCTTCATTTCATTGTTTGGGCTCTGTTAGGAGAGCTGATCTTTTCACTCGATTGTTCTGAAAGCCATTGCTTTAATTCAATGACTGAGTAACCGTAAGAGTACTGTTTGAACATGTTAATCGGAAAATATGTAGGTATGGTAAGAACTGGAAACTATGATAAATTTGTGTTGCAATCAACAGATTCATGTTTTATATTAGAAATTATTCTCCACTTTTTTCTCAAAAAAACGTGTATTATGTGAGGATATCCAACTGTTTGTTTGACATCTGCATCAACCGAACCCAGTTTGACAAAAGTTTATGGACCTACAAGTTAACGAGTTTAGTCGGAGTAAGTAAGTAGGGCAAGCCTTCAAGTCTATCTCTATCTACGCTCCAACTGATTGCAGCTCACATGTAGACCAGAAAGGGCAACTGAATCAGCTAAATACCGCTTTGTACTAAGTGTGCATCACATAAATTTGTGAGGAACTTCATGAAATATACGAATAGTAGAGGATCAAACGTAATTTGCATGATTATCGGTAATCCGAAATTCATATTAATTTACATGCAGATACAGTTTATTTTACGCCGTTGTACCATACCAAATATTTTTTAAGTAGCATGGATTTTTTTATGATCAATCATATGATAGTTGACCCATTTAATAAGATTCTCCCTCTTATTCACGCTATAAAAGATCGCACAAAAAAAGATACTAACACATTTTCATGACGTCACAGAAATAAATTAATTAGAACATAAGCTAAATGCTAAAGAAATATTTAAGCAAAAATAGCTTTAGTAGCCTGATTATCTGGCTACTTGATTATTAGTCTATAATTATTGTATTACAATGGTCAAAAATAAGGCATATATGCATGAGCGAATTAGAGAATGTCGTATCTTAAAATAGTTGGCTTAGCGCTAGAGTCGAAAAATTTATTCCCACGGTCTGCCTCTCTCGTTTGGAGGTAATGACTACCACACGGAAAGAGATGAAATCTTCCCAATTATATAAACAGTCCTGAACTATAAATTTATCCGAGCAAGATTACCACTCTTCCATATAACTGAAGTCACTGGGACCACAACTCCATAAAGCCTAATAATCAAAAAAGGCATATTTAACCTTTTTAGCCGAAGCATGAATCGGTCACCCTACACCTGAAGCCACTTGATAAATT